AATTTGACAAATCGCCTTTCACTCTCTATCTGTCAAGAAAATAGGAGCCTGATTTTTCGAAGCGCGAAAATAAGATTTAAAAAAAGAGAGAAAGTATGTATCTCTCCGATAGGCGAGGAGACATATATTTGAATTTCAATGTTAGCGCCGTTTCATTGTGGTTTGCGAATGTGAATGTAATTTCTAATACCACAGTTCTCTCCAGGATACCGCAGTTCACATTTGTGCGGCGAGAGAGGACACAAGTTCGCATTTTCTCGCCGTGCATTTTACGCCAAATGTACTTTTAAAATCTGTACAATATCGAGTCAAAGCGATTTTCCCATTAGACCATCAAGACTCTGAATTAAACAACCACACTTACCGTTAAATATATAAATTGATATAAAATATATAAATATATATATTTAAATAAAATATAAATTAATTAATTAATGTAGTCCTAAATAATAATATATATTATATTATATTATAATAGTAAAATGCACGAATAAATCAGACGAAAATCTCAAAGTTTAATATTACATTATTCAAAAATATTATTGTGTTTGTGTCGTTACTCGTGAACGTTATCATATTGCGTCATCGATCATTTTTCTAACTATGAGTTCATCGGTATCGCAATCACTGACAGCATCGATGTACAAGATACTGATAGTAATTATCATGTGAAGAGCTCTCAACGGTCACTGGCCCACGCTTTCCCTGCCTCGAGTATCAGCTGAACCTTTTGCAAGCGCGCGTGTCGGCACGTGCGATTGAATCTATCGAATTCTTCCTTACTTTGCAACGCGCGCAAATAACACAGTTTTGCGAAAAAAACAACCGCGTTTAATCCTTTCGCTGCTTCTGGCGGTGCGACGTAATAATCCCCAAGAGTTCAGATTTATTTCTCTTGGCAATTAATGAGTTATGCATGTCTCTCAAAAAATTACACATAAATATTCAATATTTTATCTGACAATATGGAATGCAAATATGTTCGTGAATAATATAAATTACATAGGAGCAATTTTTCTCAAGATATACATCGGTGCATGTGACTTAATAATAAATATTATTTGCTTCGTGAACGATGAATATCAAAATACTACGAAAGATAGAGATCTAATTACCTATTATAATAAAGAAAAATGATTTGAGTTTTAGAATTTATAAAATTTACGAAATGTGTGATAATAAAGTCTCGAATTTTTTGAAGATTGTATAGTATAAAAATGATCGTAATTATATATTGAAATATTCAAAGGAATATCTAATATATTTAATAATATTAAAAATAAATCTCTTAATATTTTAAGAGAATAGCACGTGCGATATCTTCTATAATATTATCTTCTTATATTATACATCACACATATATAAATATATTGTGCAAGCACACGCTTTTCTATCTATGAAGTGTCTGAAGGGTATCTGTTATCTCAACTTCATTCTTAAACAGATAATATTTTTATCACAATGCATCCAGTTGCTCTTATTGTTTACCAGATAAGATTTTTATGACACTGCGATTATATTTGAAAACTAATGATAGGCTAGGATAATAATCGAACCTGATTCAATAACATCGTAAAAATAAATTGAAAAAATATTCCTCAGAAACTAGCCTAGTCTATTAAATAAATATCGGGAAATATTGTACATCGAAAAAATTCGTGACTTGACACTTCTCCAATAAATTCAATATCTTTATCTGCATTGGAAATCGCGGTTCTCGATTTGGACAGGAGAGAACAACAAACTTAGCTATATATAATAGCTTCAGGCCGGTTTCACCAGATAAATTAAAATAATTCTCTCCTCCCTCCTCTCTCCATCGTGTTAAAATTAGGACATCTACGACTGAATAATCATGTAAAAAAAATTGCTAAAAAATTAGTTGAAAAAATCAAATAGCATTTTTATTAAAGGAATAAATATTTTTTATTAACTCTCCTGTGGAAAATAAGTAGATTTTATTATTTTCGCGCGCCTCTTCGTTTTTCTCGTAAAAACTGCATCGCGCAGAGCCATTGTTTTTTAACGACGATATATTTCATTCGAACCGGAAAAGTCTGAAAGGCGCGAGACGCCAATTGCGAACATGTTGTTATTCGCGCGTACCCGAGAACACGCGAATTGCGTGACACGACGAGTTGCGCTTATACAATGCTTGCATCGCGATGCATCGCGATGCATCAACGAGGGGTCCACGCAGGTGTATATATATATATATATATATATATTATGCGCTGTTCTCTCGATGCCGGCAAATCGCGGAAGTGACGATGCGTCGACGTGCATCATCGCGAGTGCAATCTATAATGCGCCTTGAGAAACCCCTACTATAGTCCCTCCCGTAAGCAAATTTCCGTAACAGTTTGCATTCAGCGCTTCCCAAGCTCTGTATCACGAATCCCCGGCAATTTCAATGAGTCCGTGTTAACCGTTAATTATGTACTTTAATATACGTATATGCGTACTTCGACATGCGCATGCAGTATCTCGTTATATTTGTGCAAAAAGAATTGTGCATTTTCTTGTAAACGAATAACGAGGATTATACTGTTCAACGAAAAATGATTTTTTTTTCGAATTGGAACGAGATTAATCGGGTCTTATATAGCTTTTGGATGCTGAATACGAATCCGCTTTCCAAATTGCTCTATCACGTGTCAATTAATTTTGAGAAATTTTTAATTAAAGTTGCAAAAAAGACCTATTTTCACAAACTTTGTCGTATTATAGCTACAATGTGAAAATTTCTCTAGCACGTCACATGTTGTAGCTATAATATACCAAAATTCGTGAAAAAGACCTTGCAACTTTAATTAAAAATTTCTCAAAATTGTGACGTGATGGAATAATTTGGAAACTAAATTCCATCCAAAAAATTATAAGAAATGACTAGTTCTGGTCTCGTTCTGGTTAATTTTTTTTGTTGAACAGTATATAGAACATTTTTATTATATCAGCAGAATTTTACATGACGAATGCAAACTGTAGAAAGATGTGTGTGACATACATACATATTTAATTAAAGTAAGTAATTGAATGTAAATCTCTCAAAGAAAGAGACTAATCAATTCAAAAGAAAGCTTGGAAACTATTCGTTTCGAGATGATATCGTCAAAAGCATAAGAAAAATACACTGCATAAACACAGAAAGCAAATTCACAGAAGTGATTGTGCACATTGTTTCGTGTGAGGAAAAGTAGAGAGAAATTTCCAACTTTCTTCCGCGCTTTAGAGCATCATTGCGAAATGTCCAAAGTAAAATAAATATAAATAAATAAATAAATTGCGTAAACGACAGTTTTACAAATATAATCGCTGACGTTGAATGGCATGGAAAAAAATAAGAGAGTGATTCTCTCCTTGCGCGGAATCATCAAAAGTAAAATATGTAAACAGAGAGTGGTTCATCCTGAGTGATTCGTGAGAATGTTAGAAGAGGGGTTTCGTTTCGCCGTAAATGCGCGAGCATTTATATTTAATCGCAGCGATCATTCGCAAGACTCAGCATAATATAACATCCTACCATCTTCCCCTCCCCTTCCCAATCCCCCCCTATATCTATAATAGCTGTCACATCAGTTCCGCTTCGGATCAAGAACAACCGATGTCATTCTGTGACATGGAGACTGAAGGAAATTGTCAGATATAGGATATTCATTGTTTTCCCTTTAAATTATCAAATAATATGCAAAAATTTTTTAAATAATTAACTCTCCTTTTTAAATACGAATTTGGCGTATTTCTCGTAAAATATTATAGCTCCAAAGATATTTTTATATACAGATTATTCTCTATAAAGAGAACTTGCGAAAAATAAAGGACAGGCTAAAAACATTTATGTCAATTATATTTATTTCAAGTGTCATCTATGAAAGAAACTAATGTTGGAAATTTAAATACGAATTTTTTGCGATGAGAAAGAATTAATTGAAAAATGACTCGATGAGTGACGTATATTGTATATAAAACGAGTGCGAAGGTTAAAGCCGGCAAGGCGATCTTTGTATAATATAAAAAAATTGTAAATCATGCGACTAAAACACGCGATCTTCGTCGAATCAAAGTAGTGACGTGCATTTAGATGCATTTGCACACGCGTTTCCTATGTCTGAACGACCTGCCGTGGGAGTTGCATAATTATTCATTTTCGAACGATACGAAACGAAGCTGCTGCGAACATGTTTATACCGATTACGTAAGAGCGCAATTTTGCGCGGCACCGCCGAATCGGCGACACAAGCGCGATTGTCGCTCTTTGAAAAAAGAAATAAAGTATCACTACCTTGTTTTCATCAAAAATACATTCTTCGAGACAAACAACAATGTCGCTATTTTTCTTCTTATTTTCGATTCGCTCGTTAAGCCGCAGATTAATTCTTTTCTTTCCCTCTCTTTCTCGCTGTTTTTCGATCACACCTCTTTGACTGATAAATTTACGCGTAATTCATATCTCTCGTAAATCAGTCTTATCAAGATTACAATAGAGAATAGAGAATGTAATTCCGCGCAAACGACAATTTTCGATTGATATACATAAATATGGCGTTGGGGAAAACTTTGGAAAAAAACTTACTTTATATGTCGAACAACGCCGAAGCTCCGAAACACGGTGCTCCAAAAATGTAACGTGTACTTTTCAAGGTCACAGCTTTTATTTGGTTCTTATAGACACGAGATATACTTATTCGGCCGGAACTCGCACAAATATAACGACGCTGAATTTAATTGCCGCGACGCGATGTAATTGCCGCGCGACGATGACGCGCGAAACATATCAACCCTGACCGCTCTGACGTTGGCCGAGTATCGCGACGTCTAGTCGAGCGTCAGAGGTTAGGGTTAACTCCTGGCGCTCGCGAGTCCTCGTGCTAATTTCCATATCCGTGAGGACAAATCGGAACGCGATTACCGGCAATTCGCGAGAGCGTTCGAGAGACGACAAACTAGACGAGAAAGAGAGAGAGAGATAGATAGAGATAGAGACAGAAGCGGAAACTTACCTTCTCTTTCGCTCTGCCTGCATGTTTTTGCACTGTCTTCGCGATTAACGCGCCCTTGCTCTCGGCCATGATGCTCCCGTAACGTCGGTCGCGGAGTGCACGAGTCCCGAAAGGAGAAAAACCAATGAAGCACTTAAACTCTCTCAACTCTGTCGACGCGACGACAGCTCGCAGCTATGCGCAGGGGAGGGGAGGTAGCGGCGCACCGATTTGCGCAAACCAAAACGCACGTACCGAAGCGCGGAGAGGCACTGACTGAGATGCGAGCACGCACGACGCGCGCAGACTCTCCCCACTCCTCGCCCGCTACGTCACTGGCGGCCATATTGGCGCGTGCGCGCTCGCCTCGTGACGTCCCACGCGCGGGATTTTCAAATACACTTGGTTACGTCCTCGCGAATTAATGCTGTGAATCTTGACACCTGCCAAAATTTATATGTAGATTCTTATTAGTTGAGACACTCGGAATTTATTTTTAATTTCAAATACGATAAAAATTATACAAATCAGTTTGTTAAAATAATATGAAGATAATTTTCATCAGCTTTTATTGAAAATAACTATAAGTAAAAAAAAGAAAAAAATTTATATTTTGCTCATGCTTCATGCAAAACATAAAAAAATAAACAAGTAAAAAAATTGAGATTTAATTGTCATTATATATATATATAGGGTACACTATCGTTTTGATTTGTATAAATGTTTTTATTAATAAATTATCTTTTCTTATTTTGTGTGATGAGGATTGCTCGAAATAAACAACCGTTATGATAAAAATCCATTTTAACAACGGAACAGACAGACAATACGCAGATGTTATATATATATATATATATATATCTGATAATAGAAGGTGATAGACAAATTTTTTTCCCCTTACATAAATGGTCTATCCAAAATCGCAATTGACAAAAGTTATGTGTATGTGTGTATGTGTCGCGGGGCGCGCGGAATGTGTTTTCTTTTTAATTATTTATAATTTAAATTCTTAATTATTTATAATTTAACTCTCTTAATACGCTTCCGCGCGAACCGCAATTACAAATTGCAGATTGAAAATTTACAGATTTGGACCTGTACATGTTCACATATACTCATTGTACCTAATATAAATTTGCTTTTAGTCTTGGAAAAATTGGATAAGGCCATAACCAAACTGGCGACAAGGAGGCGCCAGGTCCTCGGTACTACCGTAATTATTATTATTTTTCTTATAAAACCGATCCTCTCTCTTCCTCGCACTTTCATTCACCACCACGCTCCCATCCATTCTCACACGATTACGTAGTTAATTGGTTGTCCTCTGTCCAATCTACACTCGTCACAGTCTCACCATTAACTACATCGTCCGATCGATCCTTTTATCTTGCGCTTTTTTATTTTCAATAATTTTCACATTTTCCTTTTGTTTTTGCCCTACAAGTCAAATTTTGCATTTCTGACTTTAGTACAATTCACAAAAGTGCGAAAGCGCAAGAGTATAAATATTTGTTTCTTAAAATCATACTCGTAATTTAATGTTAATCATAATATTGATGAATCTCCATTACTTCCATTATCATCTTCACACTTCATCACGAAATGTATCAGCGCAATGGTAACTTCAGAGACAGAAATTAAAGGTTTAATCATTTGACGCACACGATGTTGACTTTTGTTTCTTTAGTAATTCGTTCCAAAGACTGAGGCCTGCTGCAGTTATGTATACAGAAAAATTAATCACATTATCAATCAACATAATTATACTTTGGCATACACAGGATGTCTTAGAATTATCGTATCTTCTTTCGATTTAATAAATAATTTCATTTTTACTTAGAATGACAATTTAATGAAAGTATATTACTCTCGCGTTACGAGCTTTCTTGAATATTAAATATTTCGGCAATTAATATTCAATTTTTATTCAAAAAATTTGTTTAAGATGAATAAGGGATATATATATATATATATATATATATATATATATATATATATTATAGTATATATATATTCATGATAGAATACATAAATATAGATAAATACAAGAAAATACGATAGTTCTGTGTATATATGTGAGTGTGATGCCCTATATACATAACAAAAAAAGGAAGAGAAAAATAGAGGAAAAAAAAGATTGAGTTATATAACTGTATAATTATTTGCAAAAGTGAGAGAATATCATAAATCGTAATAATAATCATCAAATTGATTCATTTATATTAAAGGAGTATCACTTTTAGGCGATGCTCGAGAGTAAATAACAATAATCCTAACAGCCATGTGCTGGACCGTTGTATATCAGACATTGTATAGAGAATATCTGGAACTTAAAGCTTACTAGAAAAAAATCTAATTGTAAGTTAAGAGTTAGGATAACATCGTGTCTGCGTTCATCACGCGCAAAACGCTCGACACGTCGATCGAGGTGTATTGGAGAATTTTCATATCTGGATATAAACGATCTAACTCTCTCGCTCTCCTGTCATCGGAATCACGCGATTGAAAACAATAATAAATATTATGACATTATTTGCTATTTGCTATCTCTTTTCTCTCCCCGTTGATACCGTATCTCGCGAATATCTGTAGCGAATCTGTAGCATAAAACGTCCTCGCGAGAAGTGCATACTTCGCTATTGATTATAGCGATAGTCCTGTTTTATTTTATAACATATATTTCCCCATCCCACCCTCGTCGGATATATACGCTCACATATACGAGCAATATATTTCTCTCTCTCTCTCTCTTTATTTTCTGTCCCAAAAATCACAGAGGCATATAATGCACCTCGATGTATGGTGTAAACCTGTACAAAAGTTGTTCCTTGTTTACTCTATATACTTATTCACGGTACAATAATAATGTATTTAAAATGTAACTTATGTAACCTTAGTACTGATTAACGAGATGACCGCATTCCAGCGTGACCAGCCTTTGGCCGACTGGAGCTAACAGACAAGATGCTCCTTCAAGTGTAAAACTCCGCTACCTCCTGTTCTCTATTTTTGTCTCTTTCGCACGCACATGTACACGCGCATACTTTCTCGCTCTCTCGCTTCACTCTCACCCTCGCTCTCTCTCCCTCTCTCTCATACTTTCTCTCTTTGAATCATTTAATATTCTGATCTTCCGTTCATTCTATGCAACACCACTAATACTCTAACTATATACTCTATATAAAATATCGTTAGTATAACTAAAACTGTGCTGTGTCCAGCTGGAATGCAGCCCTATTTTTATGACATCATTATCTATTTCTCTCCCCTTCTTCTTCTCTCTGTACCTCATTCCGCTTCTTCCATATGGTAAATCTTTTGTTGTTACACAGACAATTTCCTCACAGTCAATGATTTACTGATAAATTCACATCACTAACTGTAGTCTGTCATTGGTCGATCGATTAGTTTGATTCCCAGCTGTTCACTCGGCATCGTTTATTGTTATTATTTATACGAATTTTACACTCATTCAACAGTACTGGAGACTTGTCCCTCATTTTAATCGTTCAAGTTCTCACCTCCATCTTCAATTTTTCTTTTCTTTCCTCGAACAGGAGATTCTTCTGCACAAAATTAAATCAATATTGTTGTAAAAAAAAGTAGAAACTTATTTATAAAAAGTAAGGTGTAAATAAACGCGCGCGAAAATAGAAAACAAAATATTAAATATTTTGAAAAAATTCCATTATATCTGGATGCTTCATATTTCTTACATTCTTTGAAATTACTGTGATAGTTTGAAAATTCTAAATCAAGCAATAAACAATAAGAAAATATAGACATTTATTAAGACTTATACCTTCTTCTTCTTCCTGTTCATCATCTTCATTATCGTCATCATCATCTTCCTCTTCTTCCTCTCCCATATAATCTTCCTCATCGCTCACCTCATCCTATATGTATTGATATTTATTTAGTTTCATTAAATAACTAAGTCATCGTGCTTACAATATATAACCTACATATTATTGTAATTACATTGTACATTTTTATAATAAATATTTAAATAAAAAGACTTTGAATATTCTATTGAATTTTAACTATGTTAAACATGTCTGTCGTATCAGTAGTAAACAGACTACTTAAAATATAAAAATATAAACTAAACTTACAAGTCTTCCCGAATAGACCGCCTCTAATCCTGGATCGTCATCTAAGAAATCATCTTCTTCTTCATCTGAAACTGCATTTTAATACACATATTCATTATTCTTATCTGTGTGTGAAACTCATCGACATCATTTATTTCATCATAATTTACATCTCCGTTTATAATTTAATTTTTTTACTCCAACTATTTTGCAATAAAAGTCTCAACCAACCTTCTTCACTGTCTTCTTCGTTATCCTCCCCATCTCCATCTTCATTTCCATTGACTTCGTCATCCTCGCCTTCACTGTCAACTTCGCAATCATCGGCATCGTATCTATTCACAGACAAACAATTAATCAGTTTAAAAAAATAAATAAAATAACAAAGCAAACTTAAATAAATATTTTCATACCCATCAAGATATCGTAAACTGGGAATAAGACTGAAGACTTTCTCTCTGTAGTTATCCATATTTGTCACTTCATTGTTGAACAGATCCAAGCTCTTCAGATTTTTGAACTCTTTCTAAAATGGAAAATCATTTTATATTATAGTATGAAAGCATATTTCATACCTATCACCACAAATATTGAAGACATTTATTTATCCGTAAATCAAGTTTACTAATATAAAATTATTTACCAATGGTTGTAGCGTGTCGAGATCTTTAATCTTGTTTCCACTCAGATTCAGATGAGTTAATTTGGGGCTCGAATCGAGCAAATTTAAACCACCCGAAATCCGATTGTCACTCAACTCCAACTGCACACACAATGCAAAGACGATTGTATTTGCGACGAACAAAAGAAAATTTGTTTGTCTGCTAAGTAGACAATTGTATTGTCTTAATAATAAATTATATTTTTCCATTATTATCTATACATATTTCTCTTAATAATTTTGATAGAAACTTTTATGCATTTGATTAATATCTTGAATATACATAAGATATTTTAATGATAAATAAAATATTTAGATATACCTTTTTAAGACTGGACAACTCTGGGAAGCCTTTTAGACTGGTAAGACCCACGTTGATGAGACTCAATGACTCCAGGGCGCTGAATTCATTTGTCAAACCCACAATGTGCGTACTCCGGCAGTTATCAAGAACAAGTTCTTTGATCTGTAATGAAATACACATCATGTAATAAACATTTATTAACAAAAAAAAAATTGAGTTTTCATATACATGTCAGAAGATTGCATCAGTAGTATTGCTACATCAGTGTGCACGAAAACTTAAATTGTGCGATTTTTTTTTTCAAGTATGTTATCTGAAAATAAAATGCATGGATGGAGTGTGTCAGATATATTTCTCTCCCTCTCTAAATTATAATTAACGAATAACAATCATACTTTTGAAATATTTTGTGCAAGCAAATCGATCGAAATCGTCCTCGAACAATTCGTGCATAAGCGTCGCGGAATCGCGCGCATTTCGGAGAGGCTCGAGGAAGACAAATGGTCGAAAAAGTCGGCGTCCTCCGGTTAAAATTCAAACGAGCGATAAGCTTTCGCGGGAGATGGGCTATTTTATTGATCGGAGAAAGAGAAAGGCGAGAGCGGATAGGAGACAGAAGTGTTACGGGGGATGACGGAGGGGTGCGCGGAGGGTGAGGGGAGGTAAGGGAGACCCTCCCCCTTCCCACCCCCAAAGGGAAGGACGGGGAGAGGCGTGACGGTAACCGGAGTATATATGCCGCGTCTTGTTTAGCGGCATCGGAAAAGCCGGTGAGAGACAAGCACGGACTGCGGCACGCGACGTTAAAAAGAGGGGTGGGTGGAGGGGGCTGTCATCGATACCGGAAGTATCGATATGCTTGGATTTATATTATGTCATCGCATTTTCATTTTACTACGACAACCCGAAATGACATTAAGATAGAACAACTTTACTTCCTCGAATATTAATGTAGCACGTATACTTTGACATTTCGTATATGTCGATGATAATAATATACAGGTAATAATCTATGAAGAAGAATCGACTCGATATTTTGTCCCTGTCACTTATGATGATCCAGTTACGCGTTCTCGTATAATTCGTATTGATTCGCGAATTGTTTTCAGCTGAGGTTTCAGCTTTAAATTTAAAGAGCGAGCATACGATGTGTTGTTCTCCATTTCGCATTTTGAAATTCTCCGATCGATATTTAACGGTTCAATTATGTATTACTTTTCCGCTTTCCATCCTGTATATTCCTTTCACCTAGTTATCTTATATACACTCTCATGTTTATGCGACGAATCAGTCATATTCATTATACGCTCGTGTTGCACGTTGCACGACTGCAATGACAATATTATTTCAGAGTCATAGGAATGGATCAATGACAGTCGTGGATCGAAGAGAGAAGGAAGGAGAATGTGTAATTAAATTTCTAGATATTTAAAAATTGTGAAATTATCGCCACTTCCTTACATATACTCTTTTTATAATTTTATTTATCTATTTAATTTATATTTATTATTTAATTTATAAATTATTTAATTATTATTTAATTTACAATTATTTATCCAAGATGCACCGCGATGTAACGCGGATGATAAAGTTTCAGAGTTGTAATACAAAGAAATCGATTCGCGATTATGAATGCATGCATTTGAAATCTTGCACATTTAAGAAGAAAAAAAAAAGAAATTTATAAGATTACATAATGACAGTAAGAACATCAATGATAAAAAATAATATGCAAAATTTGTGCGCGACGCACCACGATAAATTAGATCGCGAACTTAATAAATAGGATAATTTTTTTCTAAAGGGACAAAAATTTTGTAATTTTTCAAATTTGCGTCGCGAGGCATCATGTGACGCCACACCCTAGCTACGGCTCTGCGAACGCCCACGCACGCACGCATATACGCAGACAGACATACAAACAAACGGACGTGAGGCTGCACCTGAGAAAGTCGATCGACAACATGACGTTTCATCTCGCGTCGAGGGAGGGAATAAAAAAAAAAAAAAGAAAGGAAAAAAATTCTCCGAGAGTGCGTATGTACGTGCGTGTCGGAGGGCGATCGACCGGAATCAGGCGGAGAAGAGTGGACTCGTCCAACATGGCGGTGATTAGCGGCGCGTCGTGTGACGAAACGCGTGCGACGCACTTACTTGGGCCACGCAACTACGCGTCATATTACGTGCGCGCGCGCGCGCGCTCAAGTGCGAGGAATCGATCGATCGATCGACGAGAGCCGGCGTCGCGAGATGCGGCTAAGGTCGGACGACTCTTCCGGGAAACGTGGCCGAGAAACATCCCGGCGCACGTCCACCGCGATGCAATGGCGACGTCCAGCTGCAGCGTGCGCTCTCTTTCTCATCCATGGCGGCGCGAGTGCGCGCGCGCGCGCCGCCATTCATTTACATAACGCGCTTGCCCGCTGACGCGCGCGCAGCTTCGCTTTTTCGCGCGGATCCCTCGCTTTCCTCTTGTCGCGCGTTTCCGCATCGGATAGATCGGTGGCGACGCCTCGATGCTAAAAAATACATTAATCGAGTAAACATATGTCGCGTAAAGTGCCTCGCATACGCAGGACGTGTCGCGTAACGATTTCTCGAATATCGCCACACAATCCGAAACAAAGAAGTATAAACAAGTTCTTATCTGAGGGAATTATTTTTCGAGATTAATCTCGCCTGGAATTTGTTCGTTAAGCGTTTCTCGAATGAAAGCGCTGCTTTTTTTTTTTTTTTTAAATAGAAGCGCGAGAACTTTCTTAGAAACGAAACTTGCATCACTATTTTTGCATCATTATTATGCCGGCGAATGAACAATCAAATAGTTGAAAGAACCGAAGCAATTTTTAAAACTGATTTTTAGATTGACAGATGTGTTGTAATTAAAATTTTTACTCGAATAACAAAATTTTTCTATATAAAGATTAAAAATTTCGAAACATATATGTATATTATAATCGACGAAGATATCAGAAAAGAAATTGGAGAGGAAATAGTTTCCATTCAAGTTTGATTAATTTAAGCAAAGTTTACTCGAGAAACACAAAATATTTAGATGATTATTTCCTTATGTGCAGATTGATTAATTATGACAAGTACTTCTCGAAATTGCATAAATCATTTCTGTTAATCTTGCGGCGATATATTTAAGTTGATATGAAATTATCACTCATTTCTTTGCACAAAGCTCACGTTTAATTAATGAACAAGTGTCTCGTAATGGAAAATGTGATGCATTTTATTCGCAATGTAATTTGGCGGAAAATCCATCGTCAAAGTATTTTATCGATTGATTCTAATCACATTTTACGATACAAAACATCGGTGTCCGATTTCTCTATTAAATTTTGTTACACGAATAGTTGTACGGATATTCGCGCAGAGAAAGAGAGATGATTCAATTTCACAAGTTTGCTCTAAAAATTCTGCAGACCGACTTCATCTAATTAACTCATTGCAATGCGACGTCATGAGAACTTTTACGCAATTAATCACAAAGGACCGCGAAATAATCATAAAGAGATTTAATCGCATTCACTTACATCATTCATTCTATCAACTATATACCTAAAAAAATTAATTTCCAAACGATACAATTAAGTTGGAAGTAGCGGCGTGATTTTTCTAAATGTAAACAATACTGTGAAATGACTCATTATCAAACATCATCGAGATTAGCATTCGTTCGAATGCATAATTTAGCATTTATACAAGTTTTATCTTAATAATTTCTTTATGCTTATTATTGCATTTTTAGAAAATATGTAATACTTTTTCTCTAAAAAATTATTCTCAATAATAAAATTAAATTCAAACCAATTAGATTAAAATAAACATAAAGTATGGTGCAAAGGAGAATATTCTAATATAAATTGAAATTATCTATATTTTTTTCAACGCAATCATGTTGAATGTACACATTTTTGCATCCAATTCAACATATATAATTGATTGGAAATTAAGTATATAATTGATTGCAAAATTTATCGCGGATAAGTGAAACAAATCTGACTTAATCGCGATTCGGAAAATTCTAAACTTGACAAAACTTTTCAACTAAATTATTATTTCGCTAATTAAAAATATCCAAAAATATTTCAATTAAATCTAACACATTAAATTTCAATATTTAGAAATTCAATTAACAAACGAATAATTAATCGAAAGATGAAGTCAAGTCGCCAAATTTTTTTCTCATCGGAGCGGGATAAAAAAAAATCGTCGGACTTTATCCGCGTAGCATTAATCAAAACGCGAAAGAGAAAAAGAGTGCATCGTTTGTGCACTCGACGCGCCCAGCAAGTCGATCGCGGTTTCGACGTGTCCTCGGCGCGTTTTTTTTTTCCAAGAAAAAAACCCCGTTACCCTAGAAAAAAAAAAAAAAAAAGACGAGATAAAACTCGCCTCGTCGCGCGGATATATAATATTTCTATCTCTCGCTAATAAAGAGAGGCGTCGCGATAAGGAGAGAAGGAGCGACGCACGCAGATACCTATACACGCAACTTTTGCCCGCGCGTTTTTTTTTTTTTTTTCGGCCACGGCGTCCCCGAATTTCCTTCGCTTCCCCGAGGCCGACTCCGAGTCGCGATGACACGCCGCGACAGCAGCGATGCGAAATGAAGCGAAGTAGAGCGGCAAGGCGAGTATGTAGGTAAATTACGTAGACAGAGAGAGAGAGAGAGAGACAGAGAAAAAGTGGGAGAGGAAGGAAGAAGACCGAGAAATGGAGCGCGTTCCGAAAATGTACCGCGTGGAAACGCGCAATTTTCCCATCCGCATTATTAATTTTTCATTCGATCGCGAGGAGACGGAGACCGAGAAAAATGAGGCTTCCATATAGGCGCGCCACGCTCGCGTTCGGCCATGCATCGTCGTCAGGATATGTGCGCGCATATGCCGAACGGGAGAGTAGGCGATCATCTCGAGAGTCCACGCGGTTCAGGACGGAATGTCGGCGCCGGAGGAATTGGAAAAAGAGAAAGACGGAAGTGCGAGAGACCGGAGCGGCGTCGGCCGAATGCGTGGTGTTTTGCCGCCCGAGAGAGGCAACACGACGACGAACAGATTCTACCTTCTCTCTCTTTCTTTTCTTCACCCAGGTGGTAACAACGACGCACCGTAGAAATTATAAATAAATGCATGCACGATAATGATCGAGTAGAAGCGCGTGCTGGAGGAAAGAGAGAGAAAAAAATCAGAAATATATATATATATATATACACACACAAAGAGAGAGGAAAAAAAATTAACAGCGTAAAAATGTAAAGGGTTGCCTTACGTCGCCGGGCTTCCTTCCTCGCTTCTCGAGCTCTATCCGCTTCTCCATGGCCGGCAGTCAGTTCCCAATCGCTGGTTTCTCGCCTTCGCTCCGTACGCGGCACCACAACGTCCCCTCCGCCTCGCTCTGCGTCGCAACACCACCAACTACGTGTGCCAGCAACCTTGCTCGTTCTCTCTCTCTCTCTCTCTCTCTCTCTCTCTCTCTCTCTCTCTCTCTTCCTCGGGCCGGGAATATGACGGACGGACACGGCCGAAGCGCCGATCGGACAGGGTGCCACACACCGTCGTGGGTCGCCCGTTCGCGTTGCGTGGCCGCGCGTTTTCACTCGCGTGCCGAGGATACGATATACGTGATGCGCGAGAAGCCGAGTCTCCGCGGTTCGATTCCGGTATAAGGGGCCCTTACGCGCGCGCCGCGTCTCTACGTGTCTCTACGGATCCGACTCGCCGGACTGTGTGTGCGCGCGGTGTGTCCCCCTCTCCCCCACCGCCCTCCAACCTCCCCTCCAATCCCCTCGAAGCTCCGCGCGCGACACAACACAAGCCGTACCGGAGGCGGGAAACGAGACATATGTCGGGCGCTAGTTTCGAAGCGACCAATCGGAACCGCCGGCGCTGCGAACTGTCAAACTCGCCGTGACGTAGCGCGCCAATTTTCGAAGTGTCAAATAATTGTCGGGCTGTGTGTAATATTGCGCGATGTGATATATTGTCTGAAAAATTTAGAAACGACGTTTTTATAAAGATTTGTTTGTACGCGATTTTATTGAGAGATGCGCGTCATTAGTGTCTTTCACTTCCGGGCGTTTTTCGGAATCGAACGCTGCGGCGTCTAGATTATGTTTGTGAACCGTGACTGTTGGTAACTAAACGTTGTTGGACATTTTTGTATTGAGCGCACGGCGATCTAGATGTTTTTGCATCGTGACTGTTGATTCTGTAACAGACCGGCTATGAATAATTTGACACACAATTGTCACATTTTTAATGCATTAATAATTAAATACTTTATCTTAGACAATTTGCGACCCTGATTTTCGATGAATTATTTAATATGTAGAGATTAGAATCGGATGTTGGACTAAAAGTATTTTTGTATTATCTATATTTAAGAGTTAATTAATTATTCTAAAGAATAAAATTTACAAGTTGTGACAGCTGTCAAAATGTTTAGATAAAAAATTGCCGGCTTTTTTTCAACCAACAATCATAATATATTGCTATTCATAGACGATCTGACAATTCATATAATTTTGAAAACATTAATGACATATCTAATGCATTCTATTATACTTTATTATTTATGGATATTTAAGGTTGTAACTGCATTATGCAAGTTGCAGTCACTTGCAATAATATAAGACACGATTTCTAAATATAGATGTAACATATATATATATATATATATATATTATTTTAATGTAATATTTAACAATTAGCGCATTGAAATAATTTACTATATAAAATTAAAATTATTAAAAATTTATAATTAAATTCTCAATCGTCGACAAATATCAGGTCTTATATTATTATAATTTTTCTATTATAATTTATATATATTATTTATATGTACATTACATAAAATGTATGTTCTCATAAATGCAATGTAAGATATATTACACTTTATCTAAATATAACGACATGTGTTAAAGCTTTTATAATCAGAACTTTTATTATAATTTCAAATTTTATTGCAAATTTTAGAGTGTCGTGACTGAGTTATCGACAAAATAATCGTTCTAAAATTATCAGCACGTGTGATTGCGTATTCATTGATTTGAAAGAGTCGTGAAGATGAACAATCGAAACATCAACAATCTTATCTTTTCACATTTATTGGCTCTAACAAAGTTAGAGTAAATAAATTTATCCATCTTGTATCTATTTATATTTAAAATTTTGTCAACAAATATTAAATCAAAATTTTTATAATAAAAAAAAATAAATAAATAAAATATTGATAACATATTGATTGACAACACATTGTAATATTGAATATCGATATGAAAGTAAATATTTAATCAAACCAATTATATTTTCGGAAAACAACAAAATTCTTCGTGCCATTTGTTGTAAGAAACGTCAAGCATAATTGCGTCAGATATTGCATCAGTATAGTTATAAACTATAATTTGGCACAGAAAATCTGTTTTGGCAAGTAGGTGTGAACCGCTTCTATTGATATAAATAAAAGGATTAAATGAAAGCGGTGAAAAGATTAAGAATGTTTTGATTTTGTAAACACATTTTTCGGAATGACAAGCAATACGTTCATCACCAATTAATTATGTCATTCAGTCTAATCATGTAACACATGTCATTATGCGACATGACTCTGTAATGACTTGTTTTTTACATTAATAACTTTTTTAATTTCATAATATCAGTGTTTGCATAGAAGATTAACGTAGTCAAATTGTATAAATATAGCATCGACTTTCTTTATATAGAAAAATAAATATCTCAAATGCTATCATAGTTTTAAGAGATAAATAAATAAAATTCAAATTTTTATCACTAATGAGCGCAATCTTATTTTACACTGCACATCGTTTATAGATCTGAAAGTCCAGCGAAATAAACATTTGTATTTCAATAATGAAATAAAAATTCACATTATCGACATACAAACGCATGCGCGCAATTGTCGAAAATTTTTGGAACTTTCTCGCTTTATTAAATCGCAATAAAAAGGAGTCGAAGAGAGAAGACTCAACCTTTCACTCGTTTGATTTACATTACGATTTAATTCCCATCTCCGATGGAAGGTCAAGAGTCGTGTCTTCGAAGAGAATGCCCGGCGACATTCCAGGTCTCCGGGATGATCTCTCGCGTCTCTCCGTTCGCGTAGGGTGATCCGCCTCTCTGCAGGTGTTAGATTCTGCGAAAGGTTGAGATCAATATGCGCTCATTGATTGCACCGTGGCTGCGCTGCTGCGTCGACCTCGTCGGGCTTGTCCTCCTCCGCGGCGCTAATCCGTGGTGAACGCGTTGGCCCGTTTGACATTGGAAGAGAACCGATTCAACTGATTAATTCTCTTCTCTCTGTCTCGCTTTATTCTCTCTCTCTTCCTCTCGTCGCTGGTTAAACCTGATTTCCCATTTCTAGGTCGTAGTAATATCTATACGTAACAGGCTGACTGTAATACTGAAAGTGATAGACAGTTCAATTAATTATGACAAGCTTGTTAACTGACATTGATAGAACCGGCCCTAAAGGTCTGAACGCGTGAAATTGCGTAATTATTAAATGTCCCAATAAATTGTTCATCAGCGATCGAACAAGCGAGAGATTGCGTACAAGATTAGCATTTTTCATCAGAATTGTAAGACACGTGGCATTAATTGTTATATAAAATCGTATAAAATTATATAAAATGGCAACAGACCTGTTTACGATTAAATTTATACACATGTGATTTTATAAAATTAAATTTCTCTATCAAATTTGACATTTCTTTGCAGAGAAATTGCACGTTAGAAACATCAATTTTAGACAGTAAGATCTTGTATCAGTTTTGCGTAGTAAGATCTTATTAACCGAAATCTCCCGGTTAATGAGTTTGATTATTACATGATATTACGAGCTTGAATAGTTTACTAGTTCTAGGGGCTGTTATTTATATACCGTATCAAGAACTTATCGCACGATTTGTTAGACGCAAGGAAAAAATTAAAACACGTGTAGTCTCCCTTTTTCTGATTAAAAAATTCATTTAAATTAGTACCACTTTTAGTAATCTGGCTATTATTGTAATTATTATAGATTACTATGGAGAAATATTATCTATAAATCTTGAATGTATATTTTATATAAATATATTGCATTAAATATCATGTATATATAAAGCTGCGATGACTTTTTTTACTTGTATTTTTTTTTAAATTCCACGAAGAAAAATTGTATTTTACACAAAATATACATAATAGCCAGATTTTTAGATATAAATGTGAATCGTCATACGTGAATCAGAGTCCTTGTCTAATATTTGTGTTCATTCATGTAATCAATTTCCAATATGTGCGCGTGCCTGATCTTTCTTCTGGGTTGACCTAAGAACCAAGCAAATACGTGTACACTAATAAAGATCGCTGCCTAGTTGCGTATAGATTCGTCGTATTCGTGTGGCCAATCAAATTACGCAGCTAAAAATAGAAACTGCTGTGTTTCTTTCTTCAATCTCTATCTTCCTGCGCAGTGTCAAGACCGTGTGTATATCGTGTAGTTGCAGTACGCTATCTATGTGTGTTCCTTCAATTTCACCTACATTTAAAAGCATAAGATTATGTAACATTAGTACTAGCATACAACTATAACGAAGATATATTTAATTATCGAAGCTCTTATACTGTAAATAAATTATTTAGTATTTTTAGATACACCAACCAGAGATAAATGCCACGAAAATTGCAAATTCCATCAAAAATTTATTGTGAAAAAAAAAATATATATATATATATATGTATATATATATATATATATATATATATATATATATATATGTATGTATGTATGTATATGTACACATATTCATGTTATATTTTAACACTACTTGTGATCGTTATACGGATAAACAATCCCTTTACATTGAGCAGTGACTGTTTAATTCTAAGAATACTGTAGCTAAGTGTACAAAAACGAGAGATAATTGTACAATTTCTAAATTACGTCTGATAAATTTCTTTTGCAAGTACATTTAACATTAAAAACGCGCAATTTTACAATGCAGCTTTTGAAACACATATGTATAGGAGCTTTGTTTTCATGTATACAGCACATTTTCCTTATTTCGAGTTAGTTGCCTATATATTGTTTAAGTTAAAAGATGCCTTTTAAGAAAGAAGAATACAAGAAATACTATTGATACTAAAACGATAAATTATTGCTACAATATTCTGCTATATTCCATATAAATTACTTTCTATTCATTATACTAAATTCATATCAAATTATATGTTAAGATAACTTACGAGATTTTTCGAAATGTTATTGTTACTACACTGGTAAAAATATAAGGTCTTATAAAATTGCTTTTAGTGTAAAACTCAAAAAGTGTAACTAAAGAACAAAAATTTATAAAAATAAATTAGTATTATTTTTATAAGTGTGATTATTATCAAACTCTGTGTGCAAAATGTTGAGAAATAAATTACGTTAAATTAAAAATAATCATATTAAATTGAGATAAAACAATTGTGCTCACAATTTGTTTCTAACTATTACAAATATTAAAGAAGAAAAAAGAAACGGTATTTATAGTTGAAACTTTGTTGAGAAGTATAACAAGAATATTATATCGCTCTTCTATTATTCTACACAATTGCAAATAGTAGACTTAAAACTAAACAATTACAATTAAAATTAAAGTTATCAAAAATATGAAATTTACGTACATACAATATATAAACGACTTAAGAGATAAATTCTTTTTACAAGTATAATATACGTTGCCGATCGCGGAAATTGCGAGAAAAATTTGTGTTTGTGCAACAATGTACGTAAAAATATTTCTATTTACATTTATATAAGATTATTTTTCTCTCATTGTACAAATTGCGACATATAATATTATATGTTACAAATGGGCTCTAAATATGGCGAGGGGGAGGAATAAATATTCAATCTTAAATTCTCGCAATGCAAACTTAAAAATAAACTCGAGATGCTATTATCTCAATTTCTCTACTACCTTATTTGCGAGAGAATGTATTTAACATCATTACCCGAAATACGTTTTTCAAAATATTTGAACTCTGACATGATTTTATTGCGAATAAATTTTAAATCCGAATCACACACGTATTACTTACCATTCGCTACATCAGTCGTCGGCAGGCTTGTAATCGTATCTGGAAGGAACCGTTTACGACTCTTTACGCACTGCGACGCTGCTGTTCGTATCTCTATGTGGTATACGGTGTTCGGACTCTCATTGTTATTGCCATTTTGCTTCTTCGGTATTATAACATCTAAGGGCGTGCAGTTTCTCCGCTTCTGGCTATTGGCTGCGTCTTGCTTCAACGGGGCAACTGACGAACGTGTTTTGCGCGGCTGATAATCCGGCATCGCCTGCATCTTCTCCAGCGCGGTTCGTAGAGGCAGCAAGCCAACAGCGAAGGGAATCTCGGTGTTGGATGGATATGCGTGCAAGTCTATCTCGCTTTCCCAACAGTCTAACGTGTCGGACATGTCGCCCCATAAGGCGCGGTTTATGCACGCGCACGTATTGGATTTGAACGGAACAACGAATTGTTGATCCGACGCCGATAATCTTTCCGTATCAGCTTTATATTTGTTATTAGTCCTCGATTTTCCTTCTTCCCTCGGTCTCGACTCTTCTTTTTCTTTATTACTGGCCACTGTACACGCAGGCTTGTTACTTCTTCTCACCATCAACTTCGAAGTACTCTTCCTGTTATTGGGGCTCTTCTTGTTGGATTGCACTGAGCTTGCGATCGTGCTGTGATCTGGCACTTTACGATCCTCCTTTCCTTTGCGTTTCGTTTTCGCATACGATTCCGTTCTATTGGGAGAATTACCTTTTTTGAACGGTTTCTCGGTTCCCGCAAAGGTTCCCGAAGAGAAGCCATTGTTCATAGCTTCATCGCTCTCTTGTTGATTAAGTCGCGTGCTTCGTCTTAGAACTGGCTTCGTGCAATCCGTGTCGCTCGTTGGAGTATTCACTCGCTTATCGACGTCTTCTTCCGGAGTTATTTCTCTACATCCGATCACTGTGTGTTGATCGCTTATAGTACCACCTACTATCGATTGTATGCTTTCCGTACTTAAGCTCAAGATATATTCGGCGCTCTCCATATCTAAAGACGTTAATAAAGTAACTGGTAAATCGTTAGCGGACGGTTCGTCTAGTAAATCTATGGAATCAGTAGAATGCGGTGGGGTTGGCACTAAATTGCATTGCGTATATACAAGCTTATTGCGGACCTCGTCAATAGATTTGCGTCGTTTGGGTGTATAAACCTTGACGCATTTCCCTACTATGCTAGGAACATCTGTGCTACTCCCGGAACAGTGTTCCAAATCGCTTTCGACTTGTGGAAGGCAAGATTGCGATAGTGTAGAAATAGAGGATTGATCGCGTTCATTTACACAGGAAAAATCACAGCATTGTTCATATAAAATAGGTTTTAAATCGAGACTATTACAGTATGTTTCGTCTCTATTGCTGCTCGTGCACCTTGTTTGTACTTCGTTTATCTTACTTACGTGCATAGATACAGTGCTAGTAGTATCGCTATGCATACTTATATCTACATCAGAGTTTGAGAACGGAATATCCACATCTTCCTTCGTGACATCAATGATGTTTGATTCTTCGTATAAAGTGTGCTCTACATCGTGCTCAGTGGCCTCAGTCATTTCGTTCTCGAAAGATTGATTCTTGGCTGAGCTTATGTCGTTATTATTGTTTCCAGTACAGATGTTCTCGTCTATATTTATTAGTTTATCACATTTAACACAGACATAATCATTTTCCATAAGCAGATCATTTGTATCTTTTAAATTACAATCTTCTCTCTGCTGCTTTAGACAATTTTCAAAATTGTTCAAGATCTTTTTGAATCGACAATAGTATCAATCACAGATACCAATTTTTTAATCTGAAAAAAATGAGGAATACATTAATTTTATATACTATGAAACTGATACTATGAAGTATGTAACAATTAAATTACCTTAAAAATTTGTGCCGCAGTATATAAAGATGGCAAATACTGATGAGATATTGTAGTTTCTCCACAATACATGAATTCGACCATGGCCTTCAAAATTTCAAACTCCAAGTCGTGCAAAAGTATAATTGGTTCTTGCCCCAAGTCTTGTTGCAGTATTTCCTATAGTAAAACAGAACAGAACATCATAAAAAATATTGAACCGAGATAATGGAGACAATTGAAGTTCAAGAATGTACAGAAGATAGAAGAATGTTTAAATATATTCTTAAATATTATTTCAATATATCTGCTTATTATATATATTTAAAATGAAAATTGTCAAAACTGTTGAATATTATTTTGTTCAACAATGACTTACTAAGTTGCATACAGAAAATTATGATATCATGCAGGCAAGATGTATCTATCTCTCTACCTTAGTATCAACATGAAAATAATAACTGCACTTTGAAAAGACAGAGACACCTGAGTGTACACACTTTACTACCCTTAGATCAAATGAATTAGTTATTCAATACCTTTCTAAGGACTGTTCTTCAAAAGTTGCATGAAAAGTATTCCCCGCAAACTTGGTTTCTTCAAATGTTTGTTAAGAACTACTGAAATTTTGATATACAAAATTTTCTTTAGAGTTTATATATTTTTTTATATTATCCCTGTAAAATTGTTCTGCCATAAGTACATTATACTTCCCACCATTTTGAGATAAAAATAAAAATGTCTTTTCCTATTAGTACATACTATATCAGATAAAAAGATTTAAAATATTTTTTATAAATATGGAAAAACGATCACAGAACAAATGTGTGGCAGACATTTGAGTAAAAAATATATCAATAAGTTTTTGAGCTTAAAATAATTATTAGAAACTTATGAAGTAACACATATAGTGTGTTTGTAATTATCTATATACACTTATATTTTAAATAATTAACATAAATATACAAAAAATTGCTTTATATATATATATATATATATATATATATACACACACATATATATAAAACTTACATTAAAAAAAAAAAAGAAAATATTTTTCAACACATAAGCCTAAAGAATCTTAGTCATTATTACATTAAAAGAATAAATATAAAGAAATAATTTCAAATTAATCATTACCTTGCTTCATTGAGCAAATAAAGTATCCTTTTTATCAATAAATAATTTTATAGATAAATAATATTAAATAATTTTAAAAGAGAAAATAGGACATCTCTTTAAAAGTTTATTTATTAAAATTTCAATAATATAGCTCAGTCATCAGCAGATCTGTAAGGAAAAGAGATGCAAATCGAAGTATTAATCAATATCTTTTTCAATAAATTTAATATAACATAAGTTTTTGTTAAAATGTGTGTCAGTAAATAAATTTCTATTGTCTCTGTAAAACATTAAAAATTTTTCCTCAAACGGTCTTTATAATTATATATATTACAATTAAATTTTTGTTAATACACATTATATCTCTTTCATAATTTAATACTATTTTGCAAAATATTTTATAAATAGTAGATCATACCTCCTTCCCTTAATAATTCTGAAATTTATTTGATGATGGGAAAATGATAAAAGCAGGTTATATAAAATACATAATTTGTAAACACACACACACATATACACACACACACACACACACACACACACACACACACACACACACACACACACACACACACATAAACATAGATAAAAAGGATTTAAAATATATAAATATTAATGTACAATATAAGGAGATATTTATATTAGATTATATTGCTGTGAGACAAATTAAAAAAAAAATACAAATATTGCTAGAGCAACAAAATTTAAACACATAAGTAATTGAATCAATATAAGAACATGTATATTACATGGTTATTATCTAAAGTGAAGGACATGGTAAAGAATATGTACTTTATTATAATACTTAAATAATTTGTTATAATATTTGCGTACATACCTCAAAGTATATACTATTTGAAGCTAAAACCAGCTTGTGTACACGTAGTTTTTGTTCATCGCAGATCAATGTCACATCGACTAGAGCCTGACGTGCCAACAGACCACTGAATCTCTCTGTAATATATCCCGCGTGGCCAGCCCACTGCAGGACACAATCCTTTGGTATCTCAACCATGGCTACTATAAAAAAAACACGACATTTATATTGTAAAGAGATTCATATTAAGAGATTCATATATACATGAGATTTCTGCAATTTTATTTATCAAAGAGAAATTCTGTCTCAAAAAATATTTTGAAAATTATCAATAATATATCATATAATATGCATGAGAAAAGAAAAATCAACATAAAATTCGCTAGACAGTATATGCCTAAAATAAACTTTGATAGAGGTAGACATCTTGTGTATGAGATAGATTGGAATAAGTGGCAAATGTTCTGGTTTTGAATTCAAATACACATATGCACACTAAATCATACATACAAAAAAACAAACTATTATTTTTTTTATAAATTACTGAAGAGTTTCCGACTTTGAAATACTTCAACTATGAAGATCTCTGGATTCGAGCTAGTTATAAATATATCAAGTCATTTTTTCGTCTACTTTATCTCAAATATGCGAGTATGGTTCTTCGAATGAATGCGTTCGGCAAAAATAATAAGAGATATCCTAATAATTATAACTTGGATGCGAGATTTCTGGATTTTCACAGGGAAGCCAGAATCCAGAATACGAAAGTGCGATCGCTACTGTTTGACAATAGAAAGTACGCGTTTATCGACCTTATAAAAGGTACCTTTCTCTCTCTACGGAATCGTTAGGCTCGAAGTTGTCAGTTCGCGAGGTCCCCCGATCTCGCGAACATTCTGGCACTCACCGGCAGCAACGTGATCGTAGTCGATGTGCGCATCTGCGATCGGGAAGCAGCAACAGCGTCCTTCCCGCGGTCAGACATAGATCGTAGAGACGAGACGCGTTCGTTGTAACGTCGTTGATGCGGACGCATACGGTCGCACGCGGCCGATCGCCGTGAAAAATGTCGCCTGTTCGCGCGCACACCGCCGTCAAGACTCATGAAACGCCGGCGAGATCGTTGGTCAGCAAAACCGACGGCCTTACACGACATTGGCCTCGCGATTTCACTTGCACCCCGACGATCGCGTCTGCCAAGAAAACGCAGTATAAATAAGAATAGTAGACGGTCGAGTCTGCGCATGCGCGAAACCTCGACCGCGCATGCGTCAACTGTCAAACTGTGATTGACAGCTGTCGGTAAGTGACAGTTCCTTCGAGCTGCTTTCTGTCGCCTCGCCAGAGGGCGCCTCATGTTTCAATTACGAAGTTTTCTAATAAATTTAAATTTTGTTGTTTTACATACCTCCAGTTGAACGCGCGCGAGGAAACATTTTTCTTTTACGGTATATAAGGTAATTCATTTACACATTCGAGAAATTAATAACTATACAGCGTATATTTCAACATATGTACTTGTAATTATTAATATGAATAGAGACCAGTTTCACAAATATTTTTAAGAATAACGTATATCTGAAAAGGGACAAAGATATATATAATTTAACTGGAGATTAAAGTTAACCAACATTTGTGAAACTGGTTAAATAAAATATATGTGTATATATACATTGTACATATATATGCATAATACATAAAAATGTAACATATTACATTACATTAATTTTATTTATAGAAATAATTTTACATTGAATCCTACCTAAAAATTATTTCATGTTTGTGCGAGTGATGTTTTCGTATAACTTTTTACCTGAAAAAAATACTTTGACCATTTGTGTCGATGAAATAAATACATCACACGAGCGATATCGATTTTCATTAGATTTACAAAAATAAAAATTTAATATTTAAAATGTAATACAACATATTATTTTCAAAATCAATATCTCTAAATTACTATATATATATATATATATATATATATATATATATATCTATAATATGGGGAAAAAGAGGATTTTACTGTTCGCTGCGTTTTAATCACCCCACCGTATATATATCAGTCCTCTCTCAGAAACACAATTATTCTCATACCACTCATCAATTGTTTTAATCAACGTATAAGAAAAAAATTATTGCGACGCTATTATCTATTTACCAAGCAAACTAAAAAAAGATATCGCTATAATTACGTTAAAAAAAAGAGGAATAAGAAACGAATTTCGGTACAGCCGAAAAAAAGATGGAGACTACACGGATTATAAATATTAAAATTCCAACTTTTCGCCTAGCTGATTAACCTGCTGTTGTAGGTACGGTCGTGGAGAGGGTGGAGGTAGACGTCGTCGAGGCCGCGATTGTCTCCAAGTCTTCCTTGGACAGATTCGTCGTGAGCCAACTGTCGATCACCGGCACATTTTCCTCATTCCACTTGGTCTCCTGCTTGATGATCCTGAGCGCCTTCTTGATGATGGCGTCCGCCGACTCGAATTCATTCTGATGGTCCATGTAGAGCTGGCTCACCCTGTCGTAGCCCTCCTGCGTGTTGAAGGACGACGTCGCGAAGTTGACGATACCGTCCCAGAGATAAGTCTTGTTCTCGAATCGTTCCTTCACGGTGTACCAATGCTCGTTCAGGAAGTTGAACAGGGTCTTATAGCCGGTCGCGCTGCCGGTTAACATGCTAAAGATCAAGTGGATGTCCGCGTCCGTGAAGTTCTCATTTTGATTTATCACGGCCACTTGCAACAACCTGAAAACGATATTTTTTAATTTATTACAATATATTGACATATTTGTACACAGAGAGAATTTTCTCTTAGCATTTGTCCGGAAATTTTCATGTAATCGTGAGATAATATATGGTACACTGGAAGAACTTTGAGAGTTTCTCCGATTAATAGTTATCGCAATAAAAAATATTAATAATCTATTACAATAAGATATAAATAATGTTTACGAAAATATACAGTAAAATTGTAATAATTTTAAAATATATTAGAACTTAATAATTTTTCAAGTTTTTTAAATAAATGCTAAAAAATGACAAACATATAAAATATATTTTCAATCAGCTCGTTCATGATAATTTTAACATGCAGCATGCTAATTTTCGGTTTATTATCAAACATGATAAATTTGTAGATTTTGCGAATTTTGCGGTAAAATATAACGAAAAATTCTCTCCGTGTATATACATTTATGCGAGATATGATAAAACTGTCGTCCTTTCCTTTAAAACAAAATTGCAATTTTAGACCGTCTTTTTAATTCAATTTCTCACTTAAAAAATCAAATTATGGTCGTTTTGTTTAAACGGTTCAAGTTTGTCGGAAATGATAGGACAAAGGAGGAATAGGAGAAAATTTAATTACCTTTTCTGCATTTAATTACCTTCCCGATTATTGTAAGAAATGAAAGGAGAAGCTGGCTGAAATGGTGAATTTCGTACTGACCTTTCGATCTTATTCGCATCCTTCGGACATCCGGCAAGAGTCTTTAGTAAGTAGGTGCGCTCGTTCTGCTTCCTCGCCAAGCTGGTCTTCGGGAAATTTATGACGCGTTGCAATCCGAACTCCCATTCCTCGTTGGTGCCCCATTTAAACACCGGGCACAGGAATTTATTCGCGACCCTGTGAAATATAATTTTTCGTGCAAACGTTTTTCGTTGCTCGTTTATCGATAAAAGGTTGTTTAGCACATGCAGTAATTGTTTCAAATAATTTGTACGATGTAAAAACTAACGGATTTCCTTTGTCCGGTTCCTCATCGGTCAACCATTTCTTGTATTGATCCCTAGCTTCCTTAACGCAAGGTTCGTATCCAGCTCGACATAGGAAGTTCTTTATAAGACCACGCATGTGAGTTTTCCAAGAGGGTTCGTCAGGTTGTGGATTATCGCCAAGTTCCAAGTAGAGAGGCTTCAGTAAGCTTCGAATGTAAGCCTGATTAAATGTATTTTGTTTAATTATTTATTTGAATACTCTTAAGAAAGTTTTCATTTCGATAAATAAAAACTACATATTTTATAAAATAGAAAATCTTAAAACAAGATGACAAAAGAGAAGAAAAAATTAAAAAGAAAAACAAGGCAATTAATTGATATAATTAATTCACTTTTCATGCATTTTCTAAGAAATATTTACTAAATTTATATAGACGTTATTGGAGAAGTTATTTATAATAGACGTTAATATATACAGTAATTTTTGGATCAGACAAACGATATTTAATATTGACTGTGTCTATTCTAAATTAAGTTACTTAACGCTAACCTTTAATATTAATTATGTTTACTGCAAATTTTATTATTCAACGCTAATATTTGATTTTAATTAGACCTATTTAATTTTGCTTTCAATTAGACCCATATTTAATGAGGCGGTATTCAATATCGATTAAATTCACGTGGCGTTCTATTCGGTTAAAGTTTACTTGCCTCGAATTTCAAATACACATCCAATCCCTCGATCCGCCGACCGACGTGGTGAATCATCGTGAACACCGGTTCCCAAACCACATGGCTCTTTTCCTCCTTCAGGAAGAGAGTCATGTTCATGGCAATGCCAAAGCACAATTCGCCGGCGTACGCCAAGTTCCAGGCGTCGTGTAACAGCTTTGCTCTCGTTAAGGGGGGTATCTTCTCCCGGTCTGGTCCTTGCAGATAATGCGACAACATCTTCCAGTTGCAGGTGTCATAGTTTACCGGAAACATTCCTGCCAAGAGATCATTTTGTATGCTTCCTCACGTAGCATGCACGCGATATCCGCGAATATCTCGGGTTCAATTTACTATAAATATCTTTCAAATGTTCTGCGATTTTTATACGCGATATTGACATAACAAAATTATAAAGATTTAGCAGTACACTGCAAAAATTTGTTAACTTGACCAAATCTTTTAACTAAATTACTATTTTAATGTTAATTGAACATATATTAGTATTTAAGTCAAATATACGTTTTGTGTTAAATCTTTTATATTTAATTTCAATATTTTATATGTTCAATTAAGAAAATAATATTTACTTAAATGGTTTAGTCAAGTTAACACATTTTTTGTTCAGTGCATATTTTCTTAAAACGTGTACAAAAATTAAATAATTTTACATAATCACACTGAAAAAAGAGTTTGATTGTTTTTTGACGAAACAGAGAATTACTGGTTAAATCGATCAGAAATGTTTCGTCGAAAAACAACCAAACTCTTTTTTTCAGCACATATAGTTAAAATTTGTGATATAAAAATCTTTTTAAAAATGTGATATTTGCCTACCTATCTCTTCGGGATTGACAATGATGAAATTTTCTTTGCTGGTGATGTCCGTGATAGTTGAATTCTTCGGCTCGTTTTCCTTTCTCAACCACACGGTCGGTGTAGTATTATGGAAATTCAGATTATTCTCAGCCTGCATCACAATTGGGATGTCCCACTGATACGATACTTTTGCTGTCGATTGTGGCGGTATATCTCTCAGATAGACTTTCTAAAAACACGAACAGAGAATTAGAATCTTATTATTTCAGACAAAATAATAAATTATCTTTATTTTAATTCGTGAAAAAAAATTCAATTGAGATTTTTACGTATGTATCATATTACATTTTCATTTATATTAGACGTAAACATTTATATGTAAATGTTGACGTCTAAAATAAATAAGTATGAAAAATGTTAATATTAGAAATTAAAAAATGTGCAAGCAATATACTAAATACATCTAAGAAGTTAATTAGATTAAATCGACAGATTAAATATTTTGATATCTATGAGTTATTAAAAATGTGGAATTACATATTTCACTGAATAAAACTCGTACATGTGAATTACGCGCGAAATTATAATTTCTTGTAATAAATCGATGTATTTCCATAAGAGCGAGACGTGCAAATATTACGTAACACGTGTCTGCACATTAGTCCTTGATTTTATTATTGCTTTTTTCAAAACTATGTGATTATATAATATAATATATGTCACTTCGCGTGGAGAGTAAAAATATTATTTTACTTACATGCATTATTTCTTAGTTCAGATGAGGCGTACTTATGCAAACCAATGTTTTTTTATAATGAATAAATTTATCAATGATTGTGTTTCTTTAGATGCGCTCTAAAAACGACACGTCCTTTTGAGGCATAACGTTGCGTTCAATAATTGATTTAATAATTGCAATTATTTACATAATTAAAAATATATATTTTAGTATTATTTATATATTTATCTATTATATTTTATCTTTCTATTTTTATTTTAAATTTTATTATTTTTTATAATTCTAGCACATACACACATACATTACATTCTCATCTAAAAAATTCTTAAAACATATCTTTATATGTGTTAAAAATTTCTCAAGTGAGAATATATATTAATGTACGAGTACATATTATACAGAATGTGTGTTTGATATTTCACTTTTATATAATTTTTTACGCAGGAGCATTTAGCGTGATATTATGTATTCTAAAATCAACATTATTATTCCTTAGTGTAGGCATTTTTTTATAAAGACGTTAACCGACGATGAGATTAGCTGATTTACGTGTTTTGTTTGTCGACCTCGTGCCGGGTACTTATTTATTTGTAATATTTATTATTGAAAGCGTTCTGAGCGATCCTTTGTTTGTCGAGAAAACCGAAAACACATCTCTGCGCGATGAACGAAGGTAATTCTGATTGGTCCGATGTTTCGGGTAGGGAAGGTTTTAACACCGGGTATAAATATGCCGACTTTTTGGGAATCGACAGACAATAGAGAACCGAACAGAACAGATCATATCTCTCTTCTTCGAAACATCGAACGACGGCGAAAACGGCAAGATACGGCTCTGAAGAATTGTCGACGTGAAGACGTGTAATATTCACAATTACACATTATACATACATATACATACTATCATTTTGCGTTGGAATAAATTAAACCTTTGGCCTATCCATTGAAACACGATATCCTAATCAAAACGGTGAGAGAAACATTCTATTTCTCTCTCTCACGCCCATCAGACGCCTACATTAGTTTCGCGTGTTTCTGTTTTTCGATTCTCACTACCGAAGTATGCACATGTAACTTCCGCTAGCGCGGAATGCCTTAATCGTGAGTAAATAGCGCACACGTGGTCATCTTTGTCATTTTATCCGTGTGAAAAATCGTATCTGCCTTCTCTCGCGCGTCGCGTATGTCCTTGCGAGGAAATCACGCTTTTGTTTAACTTACCTGACTGAGATTAATTTTTCTAGTTTCGTAATCGCGAATGACCGTGACCAACGGCACTCTGTCCCGGTTGATCCATGACGCGGCGATGCCGTTGATGGTCAAACCTGGCGGCAGATTGTTCGTTTCGTTCGCCACGTCGTTCAGATAGGTGAAGATGTCATTGGCGAAGAAGGTTCTGCGGTCTCTAAACACGAAAGATGCGATTTCGCGATATGTAAAGCCTGCAATTATTCGAATTATCGAGAAAAGTAGCCGAGAAGCAGTGTACATAGATAGATAAGTTTAACAAATTTCAACTGTTCACAATTTGTATCTATTTGCAAATTTTATTTATGTAAAATTTTAACTAATTTTAACTATTCACAATTTTTATCTATTTTGCAAATTTTATTTACGTAAAATTTTAAGAAATTTTAACTGTTCACAATTTTTATCTATTTGCAAATTTTATTTACATAAGAATTTATTCTCGAATGTGTGTGTAATGTAGAAATAATTCGCCTCTTTACGTAAAAAATTGTATGTAAAAGTTAGTTAAAGAGAAAATTTTAGAATCTGCTTCCCGACTAATTAATGAAGGCAATTACTACTCTTTCGACTGCTGATGGAAGAAATTTCTCACGCTCTTTTGGAACAGTTCGTGACCAAGAGTGTAATTAAACATTCGGAAAACCAACTCGGCTGAAAAATCCGAAGAATGAATAATTAATTTCAAAGATTTATAAATTCAATAGTTTGAATATTTAATTTTACTTGAATCATATATTGAATAATTGTGGCACTTGAAGTTACTCGAAATTATTTCTTTTTTTGTACTGTATTCATGTAACATTTAAAATATTTTCTTTCTCTCACGAGTAATATATAACTTATACCGTACTTTTATTTGCTATTTATGTCTATAGAAGCATTCTAAATTATAGGATAATTAACTTGATTACCTTTTGTCCATGTTGCTTCGTGTCTAATTCCGGCTACTCTAGAGAAAGGCGCCGTCTGCGCAAATTCATAATACAAAGAATATAACACTGTCATTGGCCATTTTCCTTCCATTTCGTCCGGATTGAGCTGTCAAAATGTATTTAAAATATTATTTTTTTGAGAAACTCATAATTTTATTATAAAAGATTAATTCATTATTAAAATTAATGATTCGTTAACATTCTCTGTTTATAATATAACAACATTTTTCTAATATAAATATTCTTTCAATGTTTTTAACTATAACAGTTTGGCATTTGTTAGAATAAATTAAAACATAATTAACTCACATCAAGTGTCGTCATAGATGCTAAGAACGAATTAAGAGCTTTGTTAACTGGCGCATCATTTTTACGATACGGAGTAACGGATTGACCAATCCATTGATAGAGAAGTTCGTAGGCAGTGGTCCACACTAGAGGACTGCTGAGTTCACTTTCCCTAAAAGTCAATATTTATTTCACATATGAGCGTCAGGATGAGATTATTCTTACTTACTTGAAGAACATGAGACCCCAATCGTCAGAAGCTTTAGAAGTGCTATACATGGGAATCGCCATTACGTCCAATTTTGGTAAACCGAGGGAGCTATTGAAATATTTTTGCAAATAATTAATGATGTCTACGACTTTATTGGGAACCTTAACCAACGACTCCATGAACTCCTTGCGACCCCAAACTTTCACTTTCAATTTCCGTCCGTCCATTTCATTTACTTCCATTACGGGTTCAATGTCCTGTAGATCCGATATCACGAGGGCCAGTTGATTCGTCGACATTCTCGGTGTCTCTTCAAATTCTTCCTCGATCGGTTTGTTGGTTACATCACTTCGGAAACTTTAGGAAAAAAGGAACAAATTGTGGTTTACTTACAATTAGTGCAAAACTTGAAACTATAATCATTTTTAAAGTCCGATAAATATTTTTGGATATCTTAGAGACAATCGATTCCGATGTGATATTCTCAAGACTGAAAGATTTCATTTTAACATATACTTACATTGACGGTGTATTTGTGCAAGCCTTGAAGTTCTTAGGATACAACACTTTCAATTTAAAAGTTGCTTTGTAGGGTGGTTCATCCATGCAAGGGAACATTTTCTGCGCGTTATCTAATTGTAAATAAGTGGCGACGAAGGGGCTATAAAAGAAAAATCAATTTTATTACTATCTTTATTATATTATTATTTATTAACTACAATCATTTTTTCTCTACATCGAAATTCTAATAAATCTTTTAAGATTATACAGAACATATCGAGATTGTTCAAAATTTTGTAAGATTGGAAAAAATGACATATATACTGTATTTTAGAGAAAAATTTGTAGCAGATTATTACTTATTGAAAATGTGATTTAAAATATTTATATTGCTACAAAAATAATACAGATGTTGTTACTTACTGGTTTCGGCCTTCAGAATCCATATACGTGCTTTTATAAAGACCAGTAGTTTCATTTTCCTTGAGTTGTCCCACGTATGTGATGTCGACTTCGCAGGCACTTCCATTCTTCAACATTTGCTCTAAATGAATGATGTACCAGGATTTCGGTTTTTGATGCTCCGTCCTTGCGATATTGACGTCCATTGGCGCACCCTTCTCTCTTTATGGCAAACACGACACAGACGATAAAAATTTTATTGTATACCAATTTCAAAATTTACGAGATGATAAATTTTCATTATAATAATATACAGCCAGTCAAAATTATTATTATAAGAATTACATTATATTATATATTGTGAAAAAGCTTGACTTTAATAAGAAAAAAAAAAGATCGAAGCTTTATATAGCTTTGTAAAGTATTTTATTCACTTACGCTTCATCGGGTGGCAGTCGAATCATTCTGATGCTGACACGCGAAATCTCAAGCTTTTCATCAGCGTTTAAAGTTATTCTATCGCTCGTGTCTGACCAGGTGAGATTGATCTTAACGCGACCGTTAAATACATTGCTCTCGATAAAGGGTATCTTGATATCCAAGTGATAACTGGTCGCTGTAACTTCGTTTGGTAATCTGTATCGACGCATCTTCGAGTAGTAGACATCGTTCAAGTCTATACTACGTTTCCACCGGTTCTATAGGATGTCAAATTTTGTAAATATTCTGACGATTGAATTATTGTGATAATATAGGTAGGTTTTAATTTGTCGATACTATACTTGAATATCCTCGAAGTTTTGTGAAACACCAGGCCCCGAGGAACGATGGCCGAATATATTCGAATAATCGATGCTAATAGGATTTCGCAATGGCGTCGATTCGACGAACAATTTCTCGTTGGGCAGTACTCCTGACAGTAGAACAAGCCCTGTGAGCAGCATTGCCCACATCATGGTGAATTATAGAGTAAACCTGGATCGTTGTTATTTAATAAAAAATTATTAAAATGTATACCTGTTCATAATAAATATATATTGAGCTTTAAGTAAATTTGATGTGAAATCAAGTAAAGATTTTACATGCATAACGCTACAGTAATCTAATTTACTTTGTGTTTACTGAAAAAAATTATTAAATTAATAAATATTTATTTCAATACTGCCTAAGCAATCGTTCATTTGAAAGGAATAAATATCTATCTGCTTTGAAAAGAATTTTCTTATACCAAAATATAAATATTTTTTTACATCAAATTTAATAAATTTATTTTTTAATGAAGCTGTCGATGAAATAAATTTTACCGTTGAGATTAATTTAGATTCAATTAGATTACAATAGCAATGACATGCTTGAAATAAATTGGAAATGAATAGAGAATGGAGTGAATTAAATGCAGCCGAATCCATTTGTTTTCAAAATTCAAGAAAATGAATTTCAATGTTGAGTAAACCGAGTTTAATTCTAGAAAAAATGAAATGATCGTCACATCTTTCACTCAGACCCGCATACAAATTTTAATAGAATTTGATACCGTCGATCTCACACAGATGTATCGATTTTCTACGGAAGGGATTTACGTCGCGTTACGGAAACTTATATTGTTTCGATCGGTCCCGAATGCTTACGATGTTATCCTCGTGACGGGCGTGCAAACCTTCGGGACGCAGAGGATGATCTGTCAACGGCGCGCGACCACGGTTCACCAAGAACCGACTCAGATGTCACCACACCGCCGCGCCGGTTGACCTTGATACCCTCTTGGAAGAAGGAACGGTTCACCCTGGGAAGGAGGATATTCCGCGATGACAACCGTGTGACAGCGTGGCCGCGTGCGAACTGCGAAGCGCTTCCTTGTGAAAAAGCGACGGAAACACGCGGAAAAACGCATGACGTCGAGTCGGGGAGTCGGGTTGTCCACTTAGGACAAATCGGCGGATCGTCATCCAATTATCCAATTTGGCGATCGCGGCCGTCGTCGCGCTGCGAAGGGGAAGCTTAATCGCGACGAGTCAATCCGGACGCGGCCAAGAGGCTACGACGTCAACGGCCAATCGACCGTTGGTGCCGATCAATGGGGAACAAAGTGTCTCGTACACCCGCCTGCCCCAATGTCCCCTAGGACCTTGGCGCCATTGTGCTCCTCTTTAGGAGCTCTCTGTGTCATTGCGTCGCTATCGCCGGGAACACGTGCCGTTCATTTGCGTGCCCGGTGTTCCTGGTACCGATCCCGGACCAAGCCCAATATGCGCTTGGGACTGTACGACAACACCCCCATATCGTCTCAATTGGATTTGATGAGGTGTTTTGTTCGCGAGTGAGTTTCTCTCGCGCGCAATAACTGGGTCACTTCTGAGCTGCTCCAGGCAATCGAGAACGCGACTGCTGCGATTTCGAAACAACTTTATCTGCCCAATACTTTACAGATTCTTTAGGGGAATGAACAGAACAATTTGCAGAATTTGATCCCATTATTTATATAGATATTTTCCGAATAATGAATATCTTTTGTACATTTCATTTCAATCTCTTCTTCTTCCTTTAATTACAAGTATATATGATTTTTGTCAAGATCAAGGAGAAAGAGAATTGGTCTTGTTTCAAATGCAGTATTATCACGCGAGATTTTGCTCCACGTGGCGAAGAAAAGAGAGGGCTATAAGGCGAGCAAAAAAGTTCCGATAACAAGTCTAATCACGAATTATGGCAGAAACGCATAAGAATAAGGAGCGGAACGAACGGTTGAGAACGACACGCGGTGCTGACGAACCAGCAGCATAGGTGGGGGCACCCACGAGTGCTTCTCGGCCAACATCCGCATCGCAAGGTAGAACAGCTAATTGCAGTTGTACCTGCGTCACCTGTACGCCGCCGCGGTCGCGAATTCATTTCCGTGTCGAAAAAAACGTGCTCGCTCTTCAATCACTTCTTCGTGATCATCCCATTTCAAGAAGAACTTCGCAATTACTTCTTCAAGTTTCAAAGATGCGGCGAGGATCCGTCAGCAGCTGGCAGTCCTATGGACAGCGAAATTGTAAGTGATAACAGCTGTTTTTCTCAGTCTATATTAATCCTATGATTTTTAGTTCGCGTTTCAAGGAATTAGGAATAAGCTGAAATAGCTTCTTTAAAATTAAAACAGAAGAATGTTCTCCAATTCTTTTCTTTCATGTTAAAAACCTTACTTTAAATTAAAAAATAAATCTAATGATATTATCTTAAAAAGAGAGAAAGAGAGAACGGCGTTTTGAAAAGTAACTTTGAAAACACATAAATGTTCTCAGCCTGTTTAATTGTTCTTATCGAGAACGTACGCGCATGACACGTTTAATAGTTTCCAATGACTATTATCTTTCCATACCGTTGATAAAATATGTTTGTTGATAAACTACGTCTAATAAAGGCGTTGTTACTACAATTATGTTGCGATTGAAAAATTAGTTACGCTCATTAGACGTTATACTAGAGATATTTGAGAAAAAGCAGATCTTGCTTGTTTTTTATTAAAGCAAGTATCTTTATTTTAGATACTCATATTCGAGAATCGCTACTGAAAAGAATATTTAATAAATCTACCCGACTCGATGCCTGTTTTATGCAAATTATCGATCTGCAAGTATCAAATTAGCTTGTATCGACGAATGTGTTCATACATGATTCAATAATTAATTTAATTTTAATTGTTAAATCGAATCGTTGCAGTTAATTAATCCCCAATTACGCTTACAGTAGTTATAATCGTTGTTCCACTCGAGAAATATCCTGCCTTTTGTGTGAGAATTGGAGAGAATATGACTTGCAGATGACATCTGCTACACAAAGCTTACGAGGGAATTCAATTATTTTTTATTTATTTATTTAGTACATTTTTTAATTTTTGTTTTTATATTTTCCAATTAATCTTGTGGATTATCTCTCCGGAGTTGCTAAATGTTAATGACAGCTTTTCTAATGTGTAGCTTAAAAAAAGCATCTTTAATATTTAAGTAATTAACCTAGTTGTTCAATTAAATAATCAATTTGAAAGTGGAATTTATATTAAATTTTGTAGATATATATTTAAGAATATATAAGTTATTAGTGAACAACTCGGCGCATTAATCATATTCAGACAAACTTATAGAAGCTTTGTAAATAATTGCAAAAACAAAAAAGCTATCTCAGAACGTGATTTTTTAAAAATATGCATATACACGCAGAAGCGTTGTCACATCAATTTTGAGTGTTTAGTTGGAATTCCTCCGACACTTTAATTATGTTGTTACTGATATTATCTGTTTGCTGCGTATATACGCATCGGCAACTCGGAAATACCTCGGAACATTTTCGATATTCTCGTTGATACTGATTTTGTTGTGTAAATTTTTGTCAATTACTTTGCACGCGCGCGCGCGAAAAAAAAGTTTAATTAAAGTTTATATTAAAGATTAAATTGAAGTTTATAATATTTTACGTATAGAGTGAGTAACCATCTAAATCTAAATAGACGATACAAGTACAAAAATACTATTTGATTTAATTATTTATTCATTTAATTAGTTTAGTTTCGACTTTTGAATTGCATTTATATATATAACGATAAATAATTAATTGAAATTTTATCCAATAAGTCTCTCTTAATAGTTTGATATATATTTAAATTTCTCATTCTTTCAATAGCGCACATTTTTCTTCTGGTATATTTTTCTCTTTTAAGCAAGATATCGACGTCTGTTTATGTGACAATCATGTTTGCATGGCATAACAAGCAGCACAACTTTACATGGTTATGCAGATTGCTACGATGAGGCATATAATAGAATTATCAAACTAAGCGGACTAAAAAAGATATCATCGTAGTCGTAGATCTACGGACAGTTATAATTCTTAACGTCAAATAATTAAAAAAAATAACATTTTGGCATCTATTCGTTTCGAATACATATCTCGATTTTTAGATCTAATTAAGAAAGTATAATGCAATCTTGGGAATAAAAACACTTTTATACATTTCCAATCTAATCCATAAATATTATCTAAAATCGGGTCACACACAGAGATAAAAATTATATGCTTAACATATTTTTAAAATTTTATTTTTTCTTTGATAAATTTGTTTGATGTTTACCTAGAACATATATAGAACATACATTACTTACATAGAACATTTGATGAGATGCGACACATTTTATAATAATATTTTATTATTCTTGTTATAAAACTGTTTCTCTTTAGCCGCTAAAATCAACGTAGAGTGTCGCAACTAATGTCGATAGTATAGGCGTTATCGGTGATGCGATTGCTGGACTTGATATATAGTCAGCGAATAATGCACGAGGTAGGACCTTGAAGCCGTCTCTTGCCGCATTTGCAAGCGTTCTCCGCGCGGGACTATCGCGGATTCCTGCATCACGGGGAACCAATTTCGTTGACGTCATCTGCGTGCACTCTATGCGCTTCTAACGCGTTGCACTACTAATGCGAAATTCGTTGCGGTGCAATGACGACTGATCGCGATTTCTTTCTTACACAATTTCGAGCCTCGTTCGAGAGTTCCGACTTGCCGATCGTTATTTGCAAATTTTTCTATAATTTCCACAATCTCCGCAATTGTTTTAAGACTCTATGATCTAATCGATTGATTATACATGATAATTACTGGTACCAATTATAGCAGTTTGTCGCATTTTTTTATAGCATTTGTAAGAGAATAAATCTATTGAGATTGAAAGGTGCTGAAAAAAAATTGAATATGTAAAAGAGAAGAAAAAGAAACAATACAAGATACCGACATAATAGTTTCATTGGACGTTGTTTCATTATTTACTAATGTTTCCGTAGATCTTGCATTAAACGGTATCAATAATAGATGGCATTTTATAGAGTCACACACAAAGATTCCCAAAAATGAATTCATAGGTATGATAAAATTTATACTAACTTCTACATTTTTCACTTTTAATAACATAACTTACAAACAAATTTATGGGACTCCTATGGGTTCCCCACTTTCTCCGATCATTGCCGATATAGTCATGCAGGACTTGGAAACATTAGTAATTAGTAATTTAAATTGCGAAATGACTTTCTATTTCCGTTATGTAGACGACATTATTTTATGCACTTCCGCTGACAATATTACATATGTTTTGAACGAATTCAACAATTATAACGATAGACTACAATTTACATTGGAAAAAGAGGATAATCGTTGTATAAGCTTTTTAGACATAATGATCAAAGTAATAGATAATAAAATTTATTTAGATTAGTATCACAAAAAGACATTCTCAGGTAGATTACTTTCATTTTTTTCAAATCATCCGACTTGTCATAAAATAGGAACAATTTATAACTTGGTAGATAGAGCTTTATTACTATCACATCCGCAATTTCACAAAAAAATATAAAGAAAGCTATTAACATTTTGCTATCCAACGGTTATCCTCTTGATCTAATTTTCACAGAAATAAAACGCAGATTAAAAAATCTCTCAACTAAGAAATTTGACAAGCCTAATAATAACAATATAACAGATACCAATAATACTAATACTAACATTAAATATTTTGTCATACCATATATAGAATCAATATCTGAGAAAGTTGCTTCAGCAATAAGAAGACCTGACGTAGTGGTAGGATATCGTTCCATTAAAAAATTGAATGACTTCATAAAAGTTCAAAAGGACAAAAATAATTGCCCCACGAATTCTAATGTTATTTATAAATTGAATTGCAACGGTTGTGACGCCACATATGTCGGACAGACAAAAAGACAGTTAGGAACGAGACTTAAAGAACATAAAAATAATATTAAATTAGACTCTGCTAGACATTCGGTTGTCACAGAACACATTCTAAACGAACAACATACATTTGACTGGGACAATATTAAAATTATGGATCACGAAAAAAACTACCATAAAAGACTAATATCTGAAATGATCCACATTAAAGAACAGAAAAATGGAATTAATTTAAATACAGACACCGAATTGTTAGACAGTAGTTATTTTGACATACTTAAAAAATTTGCTGAATCATAATTTAGAAAAAACATTGGTAATAAATAAATACATCACGCTCTCTATTTTGACATTTGGTATTCAGACTTCGCAACACACACTTGAAATATCGGGGAAAAGGACTTGTTAAAACGATAATGTAAGTTGAAAGATTTTTTAATTTTCTCTGACATTGATTTAATTCGCGTATTATATCCGTAGCATGCTCAAATGTCGCATAACTTGGCATCTCAGACCAATCGCCTTGCATATCTATTGGTCAACAGCGAAGAATCGTTTCAATTTTATATTTTAATATTTAACTAACTTTGTATTTTTAACATTTAACTTTGTATTTTAATATTTAACTTTTATGTATTGATAAAGACTGTAGTGCAGTCGAAACGTTTACAATTTATATCGATTCTGTAACGGAATGTTAATTTAATTATTTAACTATTAATAAAAATTTTTACACCTTATTTATTTGCTTGTTCAGTTGGCCTACTATATATGATTTGTTTAATTTTGAAGAAAAAGAATATTTTGCTCTTTTAAAGGTACAAATATTAATATTGTAAATTTTTTTTTCATATATTTTTATAAATGATTCTTTTACTCCCTTTTTTTATTTATTCAAAATTTTTTGTATTATATCTCATAGTATTTCTCTTTTTTCTATTCGATATTCTTTTAAAATTTTAATATTTTTCTTCATGCACCAGCATTTGTCATATTTTTAAATGTTTTAATTTTTGATAAAAAATCTTTTAAATAAAAAAAATTCAATTGCATAAGAATTAAAAAAATTTATTTCTTATTTATATACCTACATAGAAGAAGAATATTGATGTTGTGTAATGTTTTTAATTTATTCAATCAAAGAGATAGAAAGAAAGACGGAGAAAAATGTTATTTGGGATTTTATTATTATATATTATTTTTATTATTGGCCGTTTATATTCATAATATGCCAAATGAGCCGATGCATCATCTACGTACTGATGATCAAAATGTTACGGCCATGAAAGAAATACAATTGTCATCAATATTGAATGCGACGAATTTTTTCAGATCGTGTGGATAATTTTTTTTCAGCCGATTGCATGATGGAAACGTATTCCGGTAATACCGCACTGGCTTCACCCACAGAGGAAATTATCCACCAACGGAAGGGCGGTTGGTTTTTAACATACAAGAAAATCATTTCCTTTGTTGTCCTGTTTGTAATTGTTATCGTTGTTGCCGGTTTGATCGGATGGAACATCGGCACGATGCCTAAAACGAGAGTGAGTGTGATTCGTTATTATATCAAATGACGCAAATGAAAATTATATGCCAATTATATGTCGACAATTTAGTATAATTAACGAGAAAAATATTTTATCAAATTCATTTTTAAAAAATAAAAACGTGAAATGTGCAAAACAACGCAGATCTTCTGACATATTATATGACTCGAAATTACTTTTCCATTCAGAACTATATATAAAAGAGATCATTAAGCGTAAGAAACTATTATCTGTGTATACAAAGATGGTGATAACAATAGAACCAGGTCGGTGAAAATAATCTTATTATCTCGAAATTTTGATTAATGTCTCGACGCTGTTTTGCAGATTCGCCGATTTCACGCGAATGATCGACTCTCGCGCACTGATAATCATTTTTTCTCAAGTCTCGCGCCTTTTGTGTTAATTAGACATACGATCCATTAGCTCTCATTGAGGGCGAGACGGAGGAAAGCGACGTCGTCGTCGTCTCAATGTCGCCTTTCGTTCATCCCTTGAGATATGATCTCGAATTGACTCCGCCGAGCGACGTCAACGCGACGTTGAATCTGAAAGGACGAGTCATCATCAAATTTCGCGTCGATGGCACACCATCCTTAAGCAAATTGTCTCTCAATGCGAGGAACATCACGGCAACGCGTTACAAGCTGTCGTTCATAGAGGAGAACAATGCGCGGGCAAAAAGAAGACGTAGGAGACGCGCCGAGGACAATAAAGGCAATCAGGAGGTCGTCGCAAACACCGGTATTTATTTCGGAGACGTCGCATATATCTTTCACTTTAGAGATATCTTTCATATTTTTTTTTAAATTAGCTTCCTATTTCTTCGGACGGTGAAATAATTAATATTTCGACTATAGTATATGTATATGAGAGATAAATGATATGCTAATTAATTTTGCAAAAATTATTTTGTTGAAAATTAATTTAATTTTTGTACGTTTTTTTTTATTAATTTATATTAAATATTTAATATAATATTTATATATTTATATATATATATATATTATATATATATATTAATATTATATATATTAAATATTTAATATAATATTTATATATATTATCTCTATCTATATATCTATATCTATATATTTTATCTATTTATATATATTTATATATTTATATTAATATTTAATATTTATATTTAGTCTTTTTCCTGTAATTTTTTGCGAAGCGTAGACGGAAAAGCTATGTTGCTAGCTGTCAATTAGACACCCGTTTGTTAGATCTTAATCCATGTCACGAGTGTGACTTGTGTGTCTTTTTTCATTTATATCATAATCTATGCTACAAATACCATTAAGATATAACGGGTTAACGAACGTTAACAAAGCAACAGATTTTTGATAGCAAAATACGCGCGGCAAAACGATCATTAGTAGCATGCAGCTGTGTCAATATCTGATTTAATAGCCATGCAAATGATTACATAACGATAAAAAAAAAAAGAATTTACATTTTCACTGTTTTAAAACATTATATAATTGATCCGATTCCTTTATCATTATTCGTATAAAATACTTTGTATAAAAAATTGCAATAGCGTGTAATCATAATTTAGATAAAAATTAAATATTTCTCTCGAAGAAGAACTTATAGGTACTCGATCAATCGATTGTCTAACCGTAGAATGATCTATTAACGCAGGTAATGTTACGACGACTTCTCTCGCAAACGTGACATCTCCTCAATTGGAAAATCAGGAAACAACGCGCAACGAAGTTACCGAGTATCCTTCAGGAAACGTGACCTTCTCCGGCAATGAAACCTCTTCTGCGAAGAACGAGAGCACATCCGTGACCAATGGGCAATCTAGGGAAGTCGCAAATATAACGACGTCTGAGTCGACGACGTCTGGACCAGAGACGGCATCCACGATAACTTCCGGTAACGAAAACGCAGGCGAGTTGGCGATCCAGCGATACGAAGAGGATGCTAATAACGGATTACATGTAATACATCCGGCCGTCGCTATGAGTCCCGGAATGTACAGCTTGGAGATCGATTACAAGATTATGCTCGACGGTAAGGCGATTTACGCGGCAAGCTTCGGCGATTCTGGCGAGGAAAGGTGAGTTTTTCACTAGTAGTGAAGTATTAATTAGCTTAATTATACATCAAATTAAATATTTTAACAATTACATTAAATGACGATTCGAGGGATAGAATATATAAAAATGCTCATGCTTTTAAAAAATGCGTTGATTTCGTTTTTTATAAAAATAATATCTTGACGTAGTTTTATGCGAATATCTCTGTTTCTGTATAGTTTTAGTATATTGACAGTTATAAATTATTTATTGTTGATTTTTATTAATCTTTAATTTTAAATGATGCGCTGAAGAAGGTTGAAAAAGGCAACCGAAACGTTCGAACTTTTTTGTCTAATATTTTATGTTAAAAAATTTTTTTTCTACAAATAAATATTAATAACAGAACTTAATTAGCTCTTATTGCCTTCTATATGTATATTAATTTTTAAAGAGCTGTTACAAATTATATTAAATATTTTACTTCAAAAAGATACACATAAAATACGTCTAAATTTTTGCAACTATTGTCAAATATGATATGTGTTTTGATTTGACATTTGATGTGAATTTTTTAAAAGCTTCGCTCTCTCGATAAATAAAAGGATAAATCTTGAAATAATTTGATCTACTATATATGCTTTAATAGATCGTTAATCGGGACGCGATTGAAACCTTTGGGAGCATCACGTCTTCTGCCGGTTTTCGATGACGTGAATCTCAAAGCTATCTTCTCGGTGTCCGTAGCACGTCCGCCCGGAGCGAGGGTCCTTTCGAACATGCCTCTCAATATCTCGAGGAACACGTGCGTAATTCATGCTACATTAATTGCAGCTGTGTCAATGTTTGCGTACTTAGAAGTTATATTAGTTTGAAATAGCGAAATCCAGTTTTTCCAACTGCGTTCTGTTAAATAAAAATGTAAAATAGACAATTTACATAAAAAGTAGAAGAGAGCCCAAAAGTTTTATATCATGCAGTAATTTTAAAACATGTTTTGTGGGATTTTTTTATAATATTTCTCATTGTGTGTTGTTATTCCACTTTTTTTATGAAAAAATGAAATGATCAATCTGCGACTTGTTCTTTTCAAGATCGAACAATCAGGTGATTGACACTTTCAACGATACCCCGTTGCTGTCACCTTACAATTTGGCCTTCGTAATGGGCGAGGTCGAGTCGTTAAGTAAAACAGAAGTGGAGCCCGATAAAACGGCAGTAACTTTCTGGGGCGATCCAAAGAGACGATCACGAGGGAAATACCTTTATGACAAACTTAACCAAACTGTTACACATTTAAACGACATGTTTTCGTTGCCTTATCCGCTCCCGAAATTAGATATAATCGCGTTACCGCCACGGATCGTTGATAACGCCGGAAGCTTGGGATTAATATCGATGAAGTAAGAGATCATAATACTATTTTTTTCTATCAGAATAATCAGATTATATAAAATTAAATATAAATTTAACGTATAAGACGGGCAACAAGAGCCAAATCGCGGATGACAATGCGTTATCCTAACGAAACTAAATAATTTTTCGTTAGAAATAAATACCGGTGCACAAGCCACCAAATTTTTACTTGGACACGGCCAAGATTTTAAATATGAAATAATCTCATATTTTGGATTTAATTTCAATACAACCCCCCTACCAAATATTCCGAAAATCGCTGAATCGGGAATTCCCGATTCAGCGGGATCTATATTTTTCTCTTGCATTCATTTATTTATTTTCCGTAGGGGGGTTAAAGGGGTATTGAAATTAAATCTCAAAATATGAGATTATTTCATATTTAAAATCTTGGCCGTGTCCAAGTAAAAATTTGGTGGCTTGTGCACCGGTATTTATTTCTAACGAAAAATTATTTAGTTTCGTTAGGATAACGCATTGTCATCCGCGATTTGGCTCTTGTTGCCCGTCTTATACGTTAAATTTATATTTATATTACAGAGCCTTGTTAAAACTCTTATATATAAAATTAAATTAATAGAAAATTAAAAGGTGTTTTTTGGAGCATAAATCTCAGTTTTAGGAAGATTATACAATTTTATTTCTTCACATAATTTTAAATGGACTTTGGATTAAATTTAAGAGATCTCTGGTATTACACAGATATTTTAAATTAAAAAAGAATTTGGTAATAGAATGAAATTCTGTTTGTTTCAAAATTTAGCAGAAAATACTATTAAGATAATTTTTAAAAGTAAATTTAACAATTTCACATTTTGAAAAATCTGATTTAAATTTCGAATGATAATATATTATATTATTAGACTAATTCGACATATTCATACAATTGTGCTACGCTCGGTACCCTGCTGCTGCACATCGATTTAAATTGTTTTCAAGGCAATCGCTCTTCTACGCCGCGGATCGATCTCCCATGGTCACGAAGACAGACGCGTTAAGCGCTCTGATAAGCCTGATAGGAGAACAATGGTTGGGCGGTGTCGTGAACGTGAAGAACTGGACGGACGTTTGGCTCCTAGAAGGCTCCACACTTCATTTGCGACATGCAATGATTCAGAAGGCACATAATTTCTGATATTTATTAACTTTAAATGTATACACATTAAAATAAAATATTTGAATGTTGACTCTCAACCTTTCTAAATTAATTTTATTCATTTCTTGTTCTCAGATATTTTATTGTATTAAGTTGTGAATGTAGATTTAAAGTTAATTTAATATTAAATTCTGAATTCATTATTTTTTTTTAGAAAAAGAAAATGATAAATGAGAGATCAAATAAAAAAAAATTAGTATGTTCACAAAATTGCGAAATTTTGTAATGCAAAGTTTACATATTTATGAAATGGAATTTTAGGTCTTTATATATAGAAATAATTTAATATAAATCATTTATACATAACATATTTGATTAATCTTATGTTTTATTATTATTTAATTATTATTATAAATTATTTTGAAGATTTTGTAATTTCAGTATATATCCGGTTTTTTACCTCTTAGGAAATAATCGACTCACATCTGATTAGAGAGTCCAGATAAATATAGCATCGTTTCTTGTCGAACAAAAGAGAAAGATTCTTATGAGATTCTATTTTCAGATAGACTTGTCACTAGACTCCAATCATGCTTTCCTTGCCGACATTCAATGGGATGCCATGGAAGAAGATGGTTACAGCGTTTCAAGACCGTTGCAATCGAATGTCAATCCCGCTCATCTGGATTTCTCGGACGACAATGGTCGACATAAGAAAGGTAAAAATGTCTATCAAACTGATTATTTTTTCGTTGAGTAACAATGCTTATAATATTTTCTCATATTGTAAGTATTATTAATATTAACTTTAATTTGATATAAATTGAATATTTGTACTCGGACATGCGGCTATTGACTATTTGAACAATATAATATTTGCATAAATAAAATATTTAATTATTACCACAAATATAGAAAAAGTGCATTTATTAAGTATATTTGAGCATATTACGTAATATTGCATGTAAATAACATTTATCTTTAGATGCAAGAATAAATTTAAAAATATGACAAACTCCTCGCTTCTTATATTATGTCATTAATTAAATTTAGCAAGAATTGGCCTCTCTTACGAAATATACCAAATATGCAAATACAGCCTTAGCTTTACTCGAAAGGCAGTAATGTTGCATAATATGATTCTGCATTCTGACTGCTTCTTGTAGGTGCATGCTTGATTCGCATGTTGCACGGCGTGGTAAACGATACCGTCTTTAGGAACGGCTACCAGAAATTCGTAGCGAGGTGGTGGGTATATATCACATTATCTCGTCGATTTGATCTCTCGATCGTCGCCCGTTCATCAATCGTGCGTTTAAATCACTCGCGCGTCCGCGTGATTCAATCGTCGAAACCATAATTGATGCGTTTTACAGCGAGTTATCCCATCGGCTTTATGATAATGTTCACCGTTGAATGTCACGAGTTGCCCATCATTATTCCTCATGCTTCTTTATCGTGCTCGTTACATAAGTGGACCCATCATCGATATTTTTCGTTGCCATTGAATGGCAAAATATATAATATTCATGCGCGTAAATGGCGGATGCGTCAATAATGATGCTTCAATTTTCATCGTAAATGCATCAACGTGAAATGTTAGAGACATTAAAATTTTTACAAATCAATGTCCCTTTTTAAGGAACTACTCGACAGTAAGCGTCGACGATTTTTGGGAAGCGATGGCGGAAGAAACCGTCGGTTTACCCCTAGATATTACTCTGGCCGAAGCGATGAATTCTTGGATCTCGAATCGTGGATATCCGATCATTAGAGTCACGAGAGACTACGAGGAGGGCACAGCTGTTGTTCGACAGGTGTGACCTAAATAATGCGTATCAAATTGTGTACATTTATTTCTTCTTCGAAAAAAGTGATAATTTGCGCTTTAAGCGTCTTTTGAAATATAACAATATTTTTATTACTGTCAACTATCACGCAGCAAAGATTTACATACGATCAATCGTCATCTGACACTCAACCGACGTGGTACGTACCGCTTGACTATATTAACAAAACGAGGAATGATTGGTCATCTCCGACGAAGACGTGGTTACATTACAAAGAGGAAACTGTGGTAGATGATGTTGGTGCTCAAGATTCTTGGGTCGTGTTCAATGTGAATAGAACAGGTTGGTTACATAAATGTTTCTCGTTTAAAAATTATATAGATCAAATCATTTTTTTTATTAAAATTAACAATATTTATCTTTTTTTGCCAATTACGCACGGAATTTTATATTATATTTTTTTAATAAAAATCCATATATTAATCATAATTATTAATTTTTCTATTTTTAAATAAACTTTCTGTAATAAGAGATAAATGAGAGATAAATAAGAACAAACGCTTGCAGATATTTATATAGACTTTGCGTATATTTTTATTTCAATGAACAAACTTGAATCTACTTTTAACGCTATTTTTCTAGTTTATACCCCTCTTTGATTATTCTATATATTAAAGTAGAATTTATATTTTGTCATAAATGACTCGTGCAACTGCTGCTCATGTGGAAGATAATTTATCTAATTATTTATTAGCTTTAATATTCTGTAATTCAATAAGAAGTTACAAGACGGGGCACCACAATTGCCCATTTTATCGCTGTTAACGCTAACTGCTTTCAAGGTTATTACCGTGTGCATTATGATGAGGAAAATTGGAAGCTCCTGGCGCAGGCCCTCGAGAAAGATCACGAGGTCCTTCCGGCTGAAACCAGAGCATCGCTTGTTGACGATGTGCTCGGGCTCGCTGCGGTCGGCTTGACGAAATACGCGACCGCTTTTGACTTTATTAAATATATGCAAATGAAGGAACGACATTACGCTCCTTGGAGCGTCGTGATGCGTCATCTGTTGAAATTGAACGGTCTTCTTTATGAAACGTCGAGCTTCAGTGTCTTTCAGGTAATCTAGTCTACTCCCTATATGTAGTAATAAAGAAAATCATTCTAAAAGGATAGATTTTTGTAATTAGTAGCAAACTATTTAATGGCTAATTTAGAAAGTTGTCAAGTTTGCAAAATATTTATTTTGTTAAAAGTTGCTACACGTACATAAAGATAAAGACGCAATGATAATCAAAACATAATTTATGACGAAATACATCTTTTTGAATATGATATTCAATATAATAATTATAATTTACAATGCATTAAACATTAAACAAAATTAAATAAAATAATTACTCGATTATTATTTTTATCAGACTAATAAAAATATTAATGATAGCAATAAGTATTCGTAATTTAAACAAATTAAAATGTGTGAAAAGTGAAATATATTAAATATAAAAACTAATGGATTTCGATTAAAAAATTATAAGTGTGTGGATAGTAATATATATGATAATGGAATTGATTATTTTCAGGAGTTTACATTGCAATTCACATCAAAGTTATACTCAGACGTGGGATGGAAGATTGATGAAGGATCGGCGCTAACTTTGACTGCCCTTAAGATAGCGTGCGCGTTCGAGAACGCTGAGTGTCTCGAATGGGCCAAAAGTCATTTTGCTAAATTAAAGGATCGTTCCGACGCGGACGAGGTGTAAGTTTGATAAAATATTTAATCTTTCATTCGAGATCCGTAAATTCTTCGTGCGATCGTATCGTACATCTCAAACGAGGGATAGCATGTGTGATTTAATTTAAAAAGATATTTTATATAAATTTTTTCTTTATAATCTCTATTAGCTGAATTCTTCCATATATAGCCGAATGCTGCATTTTTATTGACATCCACGTTAAAATTATTTCCATGTGTACTTTCTGATCAAATAAAATATTAATTGTTTTTTCCTCTTATGCAGCAGTTACATCGAAACACGTATCTGAATTTTTCATATACAATGCAGAATACATGACATAAAAATATTCAGCAAGATACTTTAATTTAAAAAATAAAAATTAATATTTAATAATCTAAAAATTAATATTAATTTATTTACACGATTGACAATATTAAGTCGCGATACATTTATTATTAATAAAATAGCAAGAAAAAAATAAAATAAAGGGAATAATTTGTGATGACATCTTCGCAATAATGTTCATTTCTAAAGATATCGATTAAACTTCGTGGTCCATTTCGGAGATAAAACTTTGATCGTTTCAGCGTACCGGCGTACGCACGCGAAGTGCTATATTGTACGATCGCGAGATACGGCACGCGAAACGAATGGAATTACTTCGTTGAGAGAGCAAACTCTACAGCGGATCGAGAAGAGAAAAATCGTCTTTTATCAGCACTCGCGTGCTTCCAGACGCCGTGGATTCAATCGTAAGTATGAATTGAAAACTGATATGTATAGTTAATGATATAATAGAATTGAGAACAATAAAACGGTGTAAACTCGAAAAATTAAAGTTTCCCTTAAAAATAAATTTTAGGGGAGAAAGAGAGAAATAATTTTTACAAATTACATTCTCATTTTATTGAGTTTTAAGAGAGAATTTTAATTTCGTAGAATTTATCGAAAATTAAGACTTGAAAGAAGTGCGAAAATAAAATCTTTATTAAGAAAAAATAAAGAAAAATTCAAAATTTGATCAGAGACTACTTGAAAAATACACACAATTTTCAATATCCTGTAGAAACATGTAAAAATTGAGCAAAAAATATTTATGTACATCCTTACGTTTCTTTATTAATTAGAAAATTTTAATTATAGAAAAACTCGAGATCGATTTCTAGAAACAACATATGTTTGTAGATATATAATGTGTTAATACTACTTGTTAAGGCTACTTAGCGAGCTTCTCGAGGGAAAGATCTATAATGAGGACGAGACGCAAAGGATCTTAAGAAGTTTTCCGCAAAATCCAGTTGCCGCGCAACTCGCCTACAAGTTTGTGCGAAATAATTGGCAGGCTATCGTCACAAGGTACTTCGCAACTTTCTTATCTCTCTGTCGAACTTATAAGCAGATTATTATGTGCTCTCGTGTCTGTTTAGATTCTCGAAATCTCGCCTGATCTTGAAAGCTTTTGCGTTGGCAACCATGAACGGTTTGATCAGCAAAGAAGATCTGGATGACGTAAATATCGTATAAAAGAAAAGCAAAATTTTCGGAGCATATTTTAAGATCACATTTTTATTCCATCTTTCCATCTTAGTTTCAGACCTTCAGCGAGGATAATCGCGAAAGCATAAAAATCGTAGGATATACCATGGGGATGGTCGAAGCTCATGCTAATTTCGCGCTAAAATGGTTGACGGAATCCTTGCCGGAAGTCCAGGAATGGTTAACGGCGAACAATTCCACGGAGGTACCGACATGAATATTCGAGAAATATTCTTCCAGGTTGCAACAGGATGAAGGGGTCACCATTGTGCACGATTATCGATTCACACTTTTGTGCACGACGTGTGCTCGCATACGGAAAGAGAACTACGTGGACTTTTCTACGACAACAAGTTTTATTTCTCCGTATGCTTTTGTCAAGCATGATTACAAAACCAAGCAACAAGAATCTTGTCCTTATATCGTTTAGCCTTAGAACGACGGTCGTTAGTATAATTAGTGTTTGTAAGTACATATTTAACAAACGATATATATATATTATATATAATAATCGTATTTCTAACGATGGTAATTATTATTCCAATGTTTATCGTAAACTCTTCACTCGCGCGCGTCTTCGCTCGTTAATGGCGCTCTATTGCTATACGGTACGCTCGTTTTATAACACGCTATGTTATCGTTACAATAATCTAACCGTACCGTTGTCCTCACTTCTTTTAGTCATCTAACTCGTTAAATGCGTTAAGTACGGTATATATTCGCAAGCTATCAAATACGCGCGGTTTAAGGGTGGAAGCGATGATTTATCGTCGGATGGGGCTCGGGCCGTCAGAGATTAATCAGCGGCCGATGTTTAATCGAGATCTTAAGCGCACGCGAAACGCGCCCCCGTATGTCGGTTTTCACATATGCGTCAAAACCCTTCGAGATCTCAAAATCGCACACCTGCATAACGTCGATTTTATATACCTTGGCGATGCGTCTAGCCCGCATCTCACTACGCTATTTAGCGCTAAATGCGATCCTCCTCGTTCCATATCTGTCGATATGGGGTTCACAAACACGCATATTTAACGTTAAATACGATCTGGCTTTTCTCCTTCTCTCGTCCGTTTTCTCCCCTTTATATTAAATACATTTTCACGCTTTACGAGTGATGTTTCAGAAGTAAAGTTAAACATTCGACGGTCGTATTTAACGTTAAATATAATTGGAACATTTTTATTTCACATTTATATTGAACAAAACATCTCATATTAAATGAGTAAACTTTTTTAGCGCGCATTTGGCGCTAAATCCGCATTCATTCGTCTGCAAATAAAAGTTTCTCGATGTACACGAGAATTGTTAATTCAAAAGCACGTTTTTATTTCTGGGACAACGTGCAAAAAATACGTTATTCTCTACTCTTTTATTGAAGGGGTTATATTTTTTTTAAATGAGGCACATCTATATATTATATTTAACAAAATGCAAATCGTTTGCGCGCATGAATTTCCTCACACTTTCAATCAACCTTGATTCATTAAAAGCGTTCCGTCTTTTTCCTTTATCCAAATTTTCAAAATGGATTTTCTGCACAACCCTTCCTTAGGATATTAAGTACCCGAAATATATTTCACTTGATATTACAATATACATAAAGGCTATCCTTCATTTCCTTCGTTCGATGCAAGCATGTATATGTTGTCTTAGTTCGTATGAATAACCCCTTCAATTAATCGCTTAAAAAAATGTTCGATCGTTTATTTTCTTCATACAATTCACTCAATTTTATCAGACGCATTTACTATATCAGTGTCGCGTGTGAGCGCATTGTCGACATTCTAAAACGATCGTATATATATATATAATATACACACATCGGCACGATGGAATATAGATTGTTAGGATATTGTGCGCGACGAACAAACGCGATTTCATATCGAATTCTGCGTTTTTCGAATTCGTTTCAAACGCGTTACGTCCAAAAGATCCGCTTCCATTCGTTATGTTTGGTCATGCCTTCCTGCGTGGTATAGAGTGTTATTTTTATTAATTTATTTATTTTTTTTTTCGATTGCGGCTAGCATGCATTTAATGCCGATACCGCATGCAGTACTTTGTACTTCGGTGTCGAGACTTCGGTTCCACGCTCTTCTCATCGCGACCAAACGGTTAATTAATGGTGCTCGAAATTTCGATAATCCTACATCGAGAGCACCAATTGCGAAAGCTGCTATCGAAACTGGGATGACTGATAAAGGGATCGCGCGAAAACGCACGCTCCATAAGCGCTATATCGCTTGCAAATTTTGCAAGCCTAAATAAAACTCTATTTTTGACGTTACGAAATAGTTGCCATGTGTTTGGCGAGAGATTAACACAAAATCGCTCTCACATGACAAACATTATGCAAAATAAATACAATACCTTTGTCTGCCATAGCTTTTCGTGTTTCTCTCATCGAGAAGAAACATTTTACGTTATTGGAATTTTAGTTGTTTCTTCGTAATGAGTTACTTTGATGAATTGCATGAGTTTTACGTAAATAAATTAATATTTATCAATTATTTATAGTATCCAAAAAATTTCTAGATTTTTGTGAAAATTAAAAAAAAATTTTTTAAACTGTCATTCTGATAAAAAAACATTTCTGATAGTGTTTTTTAGTCGAATGAAAATTTAATATATCTTTATATCTGGCTAATATATCAATATAAAAAAGGTAAAATTTTAAAGAGACATGTGTGATTATCAAAGTATTACGATGTCGCTTATAGAGTCCCATGAAATTTTTCGAAAGAATATTTAATCCTCTGAAAATTGTAAAAAAAGGCTCAACCATTATTAGCCTTTACTTATTGTTAGTGTTACATTTCGTTATTTACACAGTATATTTACATCTTAATTTATGCTTTAATTGTTTATTATTTAAATGTGCATACACACACTCGCTCTATTTTTCTCTCATTCCTTCTTGACTCGTAATCTAAAATCATTCTAATGATCGAATTTTTCGATCACATCGACGTGATTTTCGCAATCGACGATGAATATTTGTAGGACGTTTTCAATAATAATAGTAGAGCTACAAAATAAAATTAATGTTATGCAAACATTGACAAGGAAAAAAATTGCTAAAAAGATGGTAAAAAAATGTCTACTGATAAAAATAGATTGGAAGAAAATAATTAACAGGAGAAAAAAATTTATTTTGTAAAACACAAATTTCTTTTTAATTTGTTAAACATACAGAAATTACACACATATAAATTTAACACTTAAATATCACAGTAACAGTAATATCAGTGTAATATATTTAAACAAAAATCTCTTTCTAATATTTTTCATAATTAAATATTGAAGTAGAATTATCTGCACTATTATCTTAACATTTAACTATTTAATTTAACATTTAATTAAATTTAAATAACACGATTCAATATATTTTTGGAAGATCAATAAATGCAAGATAATTAATACAAGCATAAAATTAAGATTATTAAAAAATTATTAAAGAAGTTAAAAAATTAAATCGAAAGCTAAAAACAATTTCTTCACTTTTTATCCAAAATAAGAAATAGATTTTACATGTTCCAATATGCCATGATGGTTATATGCCGATTCAGATGCCGTCTTTATAACAAAATCGCCGTCGATTCGAAAGTCACCGTTCGCTGCACTATTTCAAGTAACAAGTAAATATTCATAGCTCTATCATAGAAAACGTGTGCGTTGTTTTCCTAACGACCTAGTGCGGAGTAGATTTGTTTCGCTTCCTCGCTAGGAGAAAAATCCTTCGAATCTACTATCCTAAATGTATGTCTTTTTATTTTCCTCGAATTTAATGCGTTCGCTGGACGATTTTCACTCAGGTAGCGACCACGTGTATTATTCGCATCCTTGCACGTGACGTCGCTTTCGATAATATCCGGCATAGATCGATCGCGGGCGTTGATCACGGAGAAACACTCGAGTCCGAGTCTCGAGAACAAAATTATTCGAAATTTTATTCTCCGGTCGATTCGCCCGACGATCGATCGGCGATCGCACGAAAGACGATCGTATGCCGGAAATTACCTTTTACAATCGACGGCGATCCAAATAACAGCTTCTAAAAACGCTCGTAAAGTATATCGGCCTTGCGTTTTAATGGCAGTAGTAATGGGGAATCGTTATTCCTCGCCGTAATAATATATATATATATATATATATATATATATTTACAGTTCCAAGTAGTACGGCATTGTACTTAGAACGCGCAAAATTATCCTTTAATTATGACTAAGAGTTCTAATGACGAGTATCATACATGACGCGTTAACTGTCTATAAAAGAAAACGAGGAAAAAAAAAAGCGAAATGATGAATGTGTGACAAACTCACAGTGACAACGACCACGAACTATACGGTATTGAACAACGGCGTCAACGGTCGTTCAATTCCCTACAACTATCAGCTTTAGAATTCGTATGCTTTACTTGTTCTTACCGTACTATCAATTACTCTTTATTGTAGTATTCTCGCGTGTTTTTTTCCACCTTTCTGATTTACAAAATACAATATATATTTCTTATATTCTCGGGACGAGGATAACGCGAGATGCGTCGGCGACGCGAGTTCACTCGATGTGCGTCCTCCTTTTCGCGAGGAGAACCGCGAAGAAATTGCAGGAAACGATGACAAATAATTGCACACACGCGTGAATCAATATATTTACATTCGCTTATCGATAGAGGGAAAATATACGAGAAGCGAGAGAATCAAATGTGTTTGAAAACACGAAGCGTTCGCGGAAACGTTACTTATGGAAGTATAGTAATCGATGATATCAAGAGGAAAGATATTATGTGTCGTATATAATTGATTAAATATAATATTTAGGATAGAGAAAGAGAGTGTCTCTCACATATAGTTGAGTGAAGAAATCATTACTCCGCGCTACCGACGCGCCATCGGTTCGTCCATCGCTCTTTTAAATATATATATATATATATATATATATATATAATAGGTATATATATAATACACACATATATATATACAGCGTGTCTGACATAAAGTGTCACACCAAAAATATACAAGTGGATCTCGTTATTTGGAGACGATTTTTCCTCAGCAAAAATGTCGAGGGAGACCATTATTTTTTTTTCAAGTTCCTAATTTTTGCCATCATGTATCTTTTTATAACTAAACCTTAAATTAAAATTTTATTAAAGTAAACTCTATTTGAAATTAATTGGAGAATGTTTTGTTAATATTTTATTTCTACAAGGATTAGTTTGCGAAAAACCCTTGATTTTCAATCGCTTACAACTCGAAAATTATTGATATCTCGATATTTTTGCCGAGGAAAAATTATCTCCAAATAGCAAGATCTGCTTGTATATTTTCGGTGCGACACCTTATGTCAGACATCCTGTATATAATATATAATATTATACATATATATATCATATAAACGCGGATAGCTCCTAAAATTATTAACTGGTTATATATTTCAAGTTACACCCTAAGTCTGTGTACGACGAGCTAACTACGCGGTGATTACCTAATTAACTCGCGTAATGAGAGCGGTTTACGACTCGCATTACAATACAAAACGCGGCGAAGAATCGCGATCCGTGTTCGCGCGCACGGATATCGAATATATATATATATAATGTACCGCGTATATTGCAATTTCTTGATTCGCCCGCTGCGCGTCGCGAAGCTTTTGCAAGCTCAAGTGTCAGTAAATGTACCGCATTGCGCGGCAACAAAGTATACTCGGAATTACTCGGAGGAACATCTAGTTCGGTATAAAAAATGTGTTCTACGTTAAAGAAGAAAAATGCTCGCTATATATCGGCGCCACTTCTTCGAACGCGTAAACTGCTGTGCGTAAAATAACGCTGCTGCGATATACAGCCGCGATACGATATTATCGGTTAAGAGCCGGTCGTATAATTTCCGGTTCACCAGGTTTCAATATTGACTGCGTCTCTGTATAGATTCTAAATCTACAACGTGCGAATCGAGAAGGGACATTAATTAATCTCGCGTTTCAGGCCAGCCGAGCCCTACTCAAACGATACTTGACGCTTGCTCGCGCGCGTTTAGACGAACACTGGCGAAGATTCCGGTTTCTCGCCCCTTTTTCGTTCTCGAGACGTTAAAATTACTTACAGTTTTATATCGTAAAGTCCGTCTGATGTGTGATTAGGTTTACCCGATTAAGTAGTGGCAGCTTCGTATTACGATTTACTTGAGCAGACTATGTAGGTTTATGTAGGTTCACCTGGCGAATCAACGCGTCCTTAATATTTCGAAGACATCGAGTGCAGCTTTTTTTTTGTTCCAGCGACGACATCCTTCTATAATAAGGTTTTAAGGTATTTTTAACGATGTCGCCTTCCCTCTCAAGAGGCAACACATTCTTCTACCCACGAAACTGTCTTTCCGAAATCGATGATTTTTTATCTTATCCTTCCAGTTGCTTCTTCATCTTCTTCTTCTTCTCGTTAAAAATCGCCGGTCGCATATATATGCTTCCGGTTCATTCTTTATAAGAATCGGAGCCCTTTGCCGTAATTTTATCGTTGAGGATAAGGAAGCGGAGCTTGCGGACTCTCCTAAGACTTAGGACGGGGGAGAAGGATCCGTGCTTCTGGTCCTTAATCTTTCTCTACGGTGCAGGGCTCGGGCATGGACTACTGGGGCGGACACTTGACCACCTTGGTCGCGAACTCGTTAAACTTCTTGTCGATGGGCACCCGATCGTCGTACAGGGTGGGTGCTTGCAAGATGATGCCCGCGGTGCCCACCAATACCGCCAGGGTGAAAATCCAAAGAAACAGCCGGTCCAGCACCATCGCCACGTACTTCCAGTCCTCCTTCACCTGCAAGGAGCAGCGATCATGGTGTGTGTGATTAAAAGAAATATCACTGTTGTCTAACAATAATTTGTTCTAAATATTTTATATATTTAGTTTTCTTTCTACAAGGATAGATTTTGTAAAATATTATCAAGAGAAATATACACGATTTATAAAAAATATAAATTTTTATTAAGAAGCTTTATCTTATATATATATTTCCAATTTATTTATTTTTATTTCCTCGTTGACGTTTTACTTAAATAATTAATTAAAAATATTTAATATATTTATTTTTCTTTCTACATGGATGTATATAAATTTTATAAAATATTATTAAGAGAAACACACAGATGTATAAAAAAATATAAATTTTTATTAAAAACTGTATCTTCTAAATATTTCTAATTTATTTATTTTTATTTCCTCATTGACGTTTTACTTAAATAATTAATTAAAATCTTTAATATATTTATTTTTCTTTCTACATGGATGTATATAAATTTTATAAAATATTATTAAAAGAAACACACAGATGTATAAAAAAATATAAATTTTTATTAAAAAGCTGTATCTTCTAAATATTTCTAATCTATTTATTGTGATTTCCTTATTGGCGCTTTATTTATTTCTTTATTTATTTGAATGGATTTATACCTTAGTCGAATCTTCGAGCATTTTGGTGTGCTCGGCGATGAAACGCACGCAAATACAAGATCTGTGCACCTCCGGTGGGCAACGAGAGTGCGAGAAGGTTGGCGGGCTTCGTAGCGCCGGGCTCTTGACTTCCTCTATGCCTGCATCTCCGGAAACCGAGAGATCCTCACACTCGGCGTGCAACGGTAAAGGAGGGCCGTGAATTAAGCAGCTACCTCCAAACCTTGCACCGTCTGTAAGACTGAAGCGAATAAAGGGCGAATAATATTGTTGATATTATTCACGCCCATCGATGCAGATATTTCTCCTAGTATTGTGTGTGTGTGTAGTATTTTTATTTATTTATTTTATTTTATTTAACATATATTATATAGGGAAAATAATATCTTATCTTATTGCACAAAAAGTATTATTCAGCAAAGAATGATCTAAAATTTAGTGTAATTACATTAATTGATAATTATATAATTTATTATAATTATCCTAAATTTGTAATTATAATTTTTTGTCAAAATATGGCAATAATAGTTTGAAAGTGTCTGTAGAACAAAATATCAGGATCAAAGAGAAGCAAGTACGAAGCGTTTCGTATTATCATAAATACCTGGAAGGCGAGAGGTCTTCCTTTGAGGGAGGACGGCTGTGGAATCTCTTGGGTGTGAGATGTTCCTCACTGTCTTCCTGAGTCGACGGATGGTAAGGGTAATAACAGGTCTTCTCCTTTCCCCTGACGGTCCTCATTAGCACTCTACCGGAAGCGAACCTGTAAACACACACAATCGGACGCGGAGAATTTTAATGCAGGTTTCGCATGTTTTAGATTCTAGAATGCAGCGCGGCTAGAATGACTGACTGGTGGTGGATTATTGTTGAGGCCAGACAACGGAAGACAAACTTGAGTGCCAAGTATGTATATAATATTATTATCTCGAATATAAAACTATGTAACGTTATTGTTACGAAGTAATATTTGCAGAAACAGAACTCTGACTTGAAATTTGATTCCTGGAAATTTAGATGTTTTAAAAGTAACGCTTTAACTTTTATTTGTGGCTCTTTTTGATCAGATTCAAGTCGACTGATTCTTTGATGAATAATCTATAAAATAAATTTCCTCTTAAATAATGAAGAAAAATAATTGAAGAAAATACATAAAATAGCAAAATTAGTTATATCTTTAAACTAAACAATGAACATATATATTTTTATTTATTTGATACCTGTTAGGTTCAAATTTATATTGAGGTCTTCTCATCACTAGAAGTCGCGGAAGAATGTGTATAAAAACCCTCTTCACCCAGGGTGCCATTTTATGCGTTTGTGGTGAACGGAAGTGAACGTTGAGAACGACCACCGTAACGCATATACTGAAAAATATAAAGAAAGAAATAATTCAGATAAATGTACAAAAGATTGAAAAATATAAGAATTAGCATATTATAGTACATAGGCAATATTTTTTTAAATAATAGGTACATGATTGAAAAGCATTGATCATGTAGACAGAGAGAGAGAGAGAGAGAGTTTTAGTATCAAAATTCATTGCATATATGCCATAATGCTATAATGCAAATTGCAATAATTTCAAATTCAAAATTAATACATTTTGCATAGTAATGTAATTAGAAACCGACTGCGGATTTTAATAGAAATTCTAATTAAATTTTTAGTAAGCACTGCTTCATTACAGTAGAGATTTTAATCCGCAGGAAGCTAGAAAAGAAGTCTTCCTATGCACGGTATACATGATAGATTTCATCAAATTCAAATATCATCTTTGAAGAAATAACCCATTGCGTTTTACATGCTGTATCATTATACCAAGTATATATTTTTATTTTTAATGTAGATTTGCAAGATGCCAGAATTTTGAAAAAAAATATGATTCATTCGCGATCTTATCTTGTCGAACGAAGGCAAATTGCTGTAAGGTATCATCAGAATTGGCATCGGAGACAGAACGGAATGTAAATCTCACAGAGTCATTCATAACGCAGATCCGTTCGACGATGGGAAAATCTGGCCGGCCGGTCGGGTAAAGGACAGACCGCGATTTAAATTGGATCCACTTCCTTTGACACGACTTGGAACCATTTATCGATTCGGGCTACGCTGCCCCGGAGACGCGGGTCCTCGATCTTCGCGTTCGCTTTTTATCATTCTTGGCGAGCTCGCGCGCGCATTAGTCATTCCCGGGCAAAATGCGCCATAATGCGCATATTAGACATCCTCGAAGCCATCTTCGCTCTAAATGTGTAATCCCGCACGATAGGTACGTGACAAGAAAGGTATTTCCGCTAAAGCATCGCAACTGGTAAGTTCAAGATGAACTTTATTTAATAAGAACTATTTGATTTAATATTTAATGAGAGATGGTTATAGAGAGAGAGAGAGCAATAATTAGTTTAGCATTTTAATATAAATTATTATTTGAAATATATTTTGTATGTTTTTATAACAAACATTTTTCATATTTTATATAAAACAATATAATTATCATTATTTATTTTTTTAAAATATATTAATTAATGTTAGTGTACTATATACTACAAAAAATGAAAGCAAAATATAAAATAATAAATTTTATTATTATAACAAAAATAGAGACTTTGCAGAAGTAAATATGCAATTGTGAAAATAGATAAATGCTACGCGTGAAATTTTTCGCACCCTTGCCAGCGGAAATTTATAATGATGTCGAACCAAGAAAAACGAGACGATCCCTTTGAAATTTTGATAAAAAGGAGGATTTGGCGCTATACCTTATATTTGGCGGATATGATAGAGATTGCACTTTATCTCAACTATAAACTTCTTTGTAAACTTGCAATTCTATTGCTTTATTTAAAAATTTGATTAAACGCATCTCTTTTAAATTGTTTATGCATTGTGTGATGACGAAACTTCAAGATTCTAAAGCCCGTTCGAAGTGAAACAATTAAAAATAATTCTCTTCGGTGTAACGTCCGACATTCTTCAATCAGTCTGGTAGCTCAAGAGCCATCGGTATTTCGATATCGAAGCGGCATTTTTAAAATTTATTTTCAACTCTTTCAAATATAAAATTTATTTATAGATATTGAGTTTGCTTCGTATAAAGTACATATTGTTTATAATGTTTTTCAATAAGAAATATTTTAAAAAAGTTTTATCGTCTCGACATAGATCTTATTGTATATTATTACATCATAGATTACAAAATTAGACTTTTATTCAAAAAGAACTACAGAAATCTGATGTTCAAGATTAGGCTCTTTAACGACTAATTCGAACGATCAGCCGTAATTCAAGCCAACAAGTATGATGTGTTATACTGCGTTTTATCATAAGTCTATATATTTTACATGTATGATAAGTTCTGTCTTTCCAAATTATTTAATTTATTGATATGTTAGCAAAGCGATATTCGTATTGATAAAGACTGTCGTACAGTTGAAACGTTTACTAATTATCATTTGTATTATTTTCATGACGTGGAATAATAAAAAAATGTTAACACCTAATCAATTAGCTCGTAAAGTTGGCCTTTTAAATTTATTACTCATTTTATTTTCAACGTTCGGAATCACGAGAAACGCACATTGCAACATCCGAGGCACTGTACGTTATACTGCGTTTTTTCATAAGTCTATATATTTTACATGTATGATAAGTTCTGTCTTTCCAAATTATTTAATTTATTGATATGTTGCAATGTGCGTTTCTCGTGATTCCGAACGTTGAAAATAAAATAAGTAATAAATTTAAAAGGTAATTGATTAGGTGTTAAAAATTTTTTATTATTCCGCGTCATGAAAATAATACAAATGATAATTAGTAAACGTTTCAACTGTACGACAGTCTTTATCAATACAAAGCGATATTTGTATTGATAAAGACTGTCGTACAGTTGAAACGTTTACTAATTATCATTTGTATTATTTTCATGACGCGGAATAATAAAAAATTTTTAACACCTAATCAATTACCTTTTAAATTTATTACTTATTTTATTTTCAACGTTCGGAATCACGAGAAACGCACATTGCAACATCCGAGGCACTGTACGTTTCAAGATTCGACTCCATGGGTGGCTGGTGCCCACCCTTGGTGAACGCTACTGATTAATGTGTCACACCTACTGCATCCTTGCAGCGTCCAAAGCTATTAGGAGGTTTCCGCACACGTAGACACACACACACGTACACATACACACACGGGAAGATACGCTTGCACTCAAACAACAGCCCGCATGCTGTCGGCCCAATTCGCCAATTTGCTGACTCCCTCATCTTCAAGGAGACTCATCGCTTCTCTCTTCGTTGCCCAAGTAGATCATCGATTTGCTCGGCATGCGTCTTAAGGCACGAGGTTATATCACCCTGTGGAAACACGTTCAACATCCTCCACGTCGATAACGGTTAATACTCGAGACTCCCTTTCAAGTTTCAAATCGGTGAGCTTATAAAACGTTTCGGTGTCACTCTTCCGTGCGCTCGGGTTTATTTTTATTTATTAATTCCAGAATATGTTTTATCAAGTAACTTTCTTGAAAAAAGATATTTTCTCTCTGTAAAGCTTAGAAGAAATAATAATACAATATTTTTTGTACTTATTAATTCCAGAATATGTTTTATACAAATAAGTTTCTTTAAAAGAGATATTATTAATGCGCGACAGGATTAATTCTCTCTGTAAAGACATAAAAGTACAATATTTTTATCCTCCAAGATTTTCAATTCTTAGAGATTCATCATTAAGAAAAATGTTTGTAATTCGTGCGACAGAGCGCATAGAAATTTCTGATTTCTGCAAAAGCCGCGTCGTGGAAAGGGAAGACTTTCTCAATGTGCATTCATAAAATCGGGAGCTTTCTTAATGAAGAGGGTCTTCTCGAAAATAATAATTTACGATGGTCGCAGATTGTTACGCTTAACCGGTTCTTATTCCTTTTCTTCCTTTGCGAGTCTCCTTTTTCTTCCAATGAGAACCAAAATCCGACCCAGAGATAAGTAATCTTCATCTCGCGCTCATCGTGGCTCGACTTGGCCGCGTAATCCAGAGAAATATTGCAAATTTGAGAACTATCGGGGAGTAAAAAGCCTTTCGCTGTTCCAAGGCACTCGTGGACGTGGAATGAATTGTGAAATCACAGGACGTTCCGTTACTTTTCTACCGATTTTTCCGAGAAAAGGACCATTAGATCCTCGGATGCGCGTGGTCTATTGCTCGCATTTGCCAGAGTATATCTAACAATAAGAAGAAGAAGAAGAGGAAGAAATATCCACTCGAGTAACGTGCATTGTGAGCGAGCTAACGCGTTTTTTTTTTCACGTGACACATCGTTTAAAAGCAATCATTTACGTTTGCCATTTGGATAAAAATATCCCTCTCCGGGGTTAAAACGTTGATATCGAGGAGTTTTGACAATAAAGGCGAGCGTACCTTAAAGAAGACGTATCACTTTTTATTATACGTTGCTTCTCAAGATTTAAATGGTCGATGCATGGAAGCTCTTTTCCAGCAAAGAAAATAATGATGCGTGATTTTTCGAAGAAAACGCTGTCGATCCTCGACTATGAATCGGCCGTGTCACGCCCGAGAAACGACGTCGTACAAATTTCCAAGTTGCTTCATCATCGTCGACCATCAGTTACGAAGAAAAGAATGTTACGTGGAATGGTAGCAAGGGTCCGGAAAAGCTTTATAAAAAATGTAGAGAGAGGGAGAGCTAACACGAGGATTTAGGAAAATGGATGCTGTAGAAAAATACGTGACGACAATAATTATAATATACATAAGTACAAGTTATCGTATTATTTAGAATCTCTTGCGTTATAATTTTTTTTTATTTCATCAATGACGACAAGATAAAATAAAAAAAAAAACAGAGAGAATGAAAGGAGAAGAAAGATCTTCTCCGAAAAAAGCTGTACATTTTGCGAGAAGAGAGAGAGAGAGAGAGAGAGAGAGAGAGAGAGAGAGAGAGAGAGAGAGAGAGAGAGAGAAGCTGGTACAGGATATAACCTACATCCGAATGATGCATTACACTGATACGCTGTCGCGTTTCCTGCGTTCTCTGAAACTCCTCGCTCCTTCGGCGAATCGAAATATTTCTTCCCAGGACTGCGCGCGTCCTCGTGGGCTTTGACCTATTTCGCGATTTCACGTACGTACCGTTTTGCGACCGTTCATCTTCGAGTCGGCAACCGCATGAATCCTAATCACGTTCGAAAAAGTCGTTTACGTATCTCGAGCACGTAGTCCGGCGAGTGACCGGAAGAGAAGAACTCTATATGGCGTCTCGTCTGATCGAACTGTGCAACGGTGAGTTTCCGCGGCTCGCAACCGTGAGATGACTCTCGAACAAAAGTTTCCGGAAGAAGAA